CCCAAGGTTCAAGGCCTTGGGCCACTGAATGAAAGAACGGTGCCAAACTCCCAAGCATGGAGCCAAGGAGTGACGAAACCAAACCATGGAGCAACTCTTGAGCATACAGCCCAAAGAGCAAAGGGACAGGAGCCTGAAGCGACTTGGAACAGTCCTGGAGCAACCAGCATCCCAATGCCAGGACTAGCACGCAAAACGGAGCCAAACGGAGTCTGGCACTATTTCGGCATACCGATGGCATAACGTGAGGACATGGGTACTCCACCAGCTAGCATGGAATGGAACTTGGGCTTAGAACCAAGCCGGACGCAGAACAAGGACAAGCATGGCGTATGCCAAATGAGCAAATCTGGACACTTTCCATAAATAGCATTTAGGATCGAAATAAGACTAACACAAAGGGCATGATAGCGAGGGTGTTTGGCAGACACGGTAAGCTATCATGTAGCGATATTGAGGGACTAATCTCAATATGCGAGGGTTCTTGTCAAGCCAATGCAAGACAGAGCAAAAGAGAACTAACAAGCCGGGCCGAGTATGTTCAGCTAAATAGACACTTAGGAATTCCTTCCTTATACTCATCCGGCCAAGTACAGATGCAAAGTCCAGTTTACTAACATTTGAACAAGAGGGACTAATAAAGGGTCTAGCAATACCGAGCTCCTGCCATCGTGGCAGTAAGGTAAGAGTGTCCGTAAGGACTAGTCGACAGATAACTTTCGATACCCGAAGTCACATGCACAACACTACCCTATAACTAGAGATTTCATCATGTATATAATGTGCTAAAACAAATTTACTTATACTAGCCCAAACCCAAAAATCACTAAATGAATAAAGTTAAATTAGAAAATGAATGCTTGATGAGAAAGCCTTTAGTGACTATTTTATCCCCATTTATCCCCTAAAGTTCCAAAGATTCCTGATGATAAAATATCCAAATTTCATCCTATAATCACATGTGTTACAGTCATAGGAAAAGATCAATTAGTCTAAATAAATTTTAATTAACAATACAAAGGAATCAGAGTTGCTCAAGAAAGCATCAATAATATCCTATCGATAATTCAAACTCAAGAGACCAAACCAAAATAAACCACAAACAAAAATTACATAGTAATGTAAAAAGCCAAAAACCCTCAAAATAACAATTAACCATCACAAAAATCGTCAATCACCCTATTAAGAAAGGTGCATAATCATTATTAAAGAAAATTCTACCATCCTAAAGAATGGCAAAGCATCCAATATCAATAATAATTAACAATATTTTAACAAAGATAATTAATTGTTATAAATGATATTACTAATAATTGTTAAATGTGGAAGCTAATTTGAACATCAAAGCTAATAAGCCAAAATATTTTCTTTAACAACTTTTAATAAATAAAATAATGAATATAAAAACTCAAAGAACAAAAGTTTGAAGAAGCTTATAGCCAAGTCTCGTATAATAATAATTATAAATCTTGCATGAACTAACTTTAATACAAAAAAAAATCATAATACAACCTATAATATCCTCATCAACACATCCATAAGTTAAATTTTATAATGTAAAGCTAATGAAAATCATATTTATATTAATTCAAAAACTAAACACAATAAAGTTATGCTTAACAACTAACTAGCATACCAACACTAGCTTAGAATAATGGATCATCTTTAAGACCTTGTCAAAGCTACTACGATGTTACTACTTGCAAGTAGATTAATTTCACCATCAACTATTTTGGGGTTGATTATAGTTTGACCAAGTAACTTTATAAATACAGTCCTTATGATCATGATATAATAGTTACAATTATTTGATTATCAATCGAGCAATACCACAAACAAAATATATATTACTATTACAAAGATTTACATGAGTATTAAGTGTTAACTCTATTTGACAAAATGCAACATAAATACCATCCCACCAATAGAGATTTATGACACTTAACACCACCAACACTACCACAAATTCATACCATTCTCTTTCCAACCGAACTCAAAATTAATCCAACATCAAACTACTTAAGGAGAAATAATAAGGATCCTTGGAAAGAATTAAGCATTATAATTCAAGATTTCCAATAACAAGCTTAGACAAAATGATTTAATGCTTCACCATTATTTATTCTATGACTCACCATTTGTAAAGCTATCATAACCAATATGTATTGAAATAGGAAGTCTCAATATCATGATGTGAGCATAAGTAATGAGATCTCTTGTTGCAAACCTGTGTCTAAATATGCAATTTAGTGCAATTTCATATTTAATAAATTTTTGTGATTGTCTCAGAAACTTCCCAAAAAGAAAAGATGATTTACATGTTTAATCCTTTGTTTTTAATGACTCTCTCTTCAGACTCAACTTTGACTAAACTTCTAGCTTGCATTCATACTACGTTTAGTTCAATTCAAAAAAATTTTTGAGAGAGCAGGACATTGATTACTTGAACTAATAGACTAATCTCTATAGTCTTGATTGATCTACTTATAATCATGCTTAGGTAAGATCCACTAGTGCCAGCCTATTTACCACTTATAACAAACCTAGAGAGGTTTATTTTTACCCATAGTAATATGGAACAACTCATGATAACCACCAATAGGTTAACATTAATTATACCAATTCAAAATGTAACTTTAATTTACTAATGCATCTCACTTATGAGCCCAAGCACAAACTCATACAAATGGTGTATAAAAAATCCATTTTACAAGCCCAAGTGAAAACTCATTTAATATAGTACGACAAAGTAACCAAAATCCATACCTAAGAGATATATATAAAGATATAGCAACTAAACATCAAATTTTTGTTTTCATTTTTACATATAAAATAAGATTAGTTGCCCACATATTGCTTTGGACTCCCTTCATGTGAGGCTCGTTTAGCTTCTCGAGGCTGCTGTATATGGCTGGGTCATGAGGGAGGGGAGAATGACACGAACCATGGGAATATTTCAAGAATATTTCATGGCTTGTGGGATTTAAGGCCGTAACGCCTTAAGGGTTGAGAGGTTGGCCTAGGGTTCACTCTCCTGTTTGTTTCATTGGTGTCATAACAATCTTATTGGATAATACTTGTTAGGACATATTATCTGATACTAAATAATTTTCACCTTTTACCTTATAATGATTTAACACAAGATAACCATGAAATGGAATTTAAACCCTTGAACACATAGGTGAAAGGTAGCAAAGTGGAATTTAAGTTTCAGGATCTTGGGCCATTGAACAAAAGGACAAAACTAAACTCATGAGTATGTAACTAAAAAGTAAAGGAATTGAAACATAGAGTGACTTTCAAACATACAGTACAAGGAATAAAAGGACATGAGCATGAAGTAACATTATAATAGTGTTAGAGCATCAACATCTTAATGCCAAGACTTCTACCAACCCTGGTTTAGATTTGAGATTGGAGGTAACAATATGGCCATAAAAACTATTCAGTAAAAGTTAAATAAAAGTGAGTTATATATAAAATTATACAAATACAGTATTGGCATTTCACACAACACAAATCAATTGCTGCAGTATTATGGTAAATTCCAAAAGTCTATATTTTTCTAGATTGAAAACAACACCAATTGCCTGATGAGCTCCTTTAAGAAAGAGAAAAGGATTGATTGATCCAACCATAGGCATAAAACTAAAATTGAGGGCAAGTTTTAAGAGTTTGAATGTGGTTATTATACTAAACAAGATATTACTATTATTCATATAAGTCTTATATAAATTTATTTTAAAAATTATTATATGTAAAATTTTGTTACTGATAAAATTACAAATAGAAAAAAACAAAAATGCACAAAAACATATTTAGTTTTTAATGTATATCTTTATATATCTTTTGGTCTCATTCAGTATTAGATGTTTTCTATAGTTACCTGATGTTCTTAACTATGACTTTATCAAACTTGAATACAAGTTTTAACTGTTTCAAATCATCTATACCATTTTTTTTTAAACTTTAAAATGTTTTATTCATAACATTCCTACAACATTTTAATTAATAAAATAAATTTCATATAATGCTTATATTAGCTTCTTATCTATTGAAATATTACTTCATCATGACTATCATGTGAATAATGACCACTAAATGCCCAGTTTTGCCATCCATACCAACCTTTAGTTTTAAAATGACCATTACCAATAAATGATACACCATCAAATTGTACATTATTTATTATTTTAGAGCACGTTTCTGCTGCTAGGGTATCATAATCAAAATAAACAAATTCGTTACCTTTTCTCCATAAAATAACATTTTCTTGATAAACATTACAATTTGCAAGAGCATCTTTCATATCTGGAGCCCAATTAAATTTATCTTTTCCTTCAATGATTTTTGCTGTATAAAGAAAGCCATGAATTAAGGATTAAGTTCAAACTATTATACTTACACTGAAATAGATCAAATAACAATAAAAGATAGAACCAGGTATTAAAACCCATGAATAATAAATATAGTAACAATATATAACTAGGTTAGTAATCTCAATATAATTAATGTAATGTTAAGTACAATTCTATCTTTAAATACTATAAATCTGACAATAATTACTAATACTTCCAAAAAGAATTATTTTGCTCAATAATTATAGATTTCCTCTATACTTGACACGTCAATTTTGTGGTTTGTCACTCTAAAACAAGAGTAGGCATACTGCATATCTTAAATTGTTACATTTGTAATAAGTTAGCAAAATACAAATGAATGATATAATCGAGCATGAGCAAGTAGTCGAGATTGGTTTGCTGCGCAGTTGCCTGCCACGAGTCCGGCAAAAGCCTCACGTCGTGCAGTGAAACAGCCCCAAGAAAGGAATTGTTTTGCTGCTGCTGGAGGACTCTCCTCCTGGAAAATTCTAGCGAACCTGTGGCGGTGGTGGTGTTCCAGCTGCTGGCGGTGGACGTGAGCTCCAGGCCGGAATTGAATGCGACGAGGAGCTGAGCCCGCAAGGTGTGTGAAACCCCAGTGTTGGTGCACATCTTTCCATGGCCAAGCGGGCAGAGGAGTGGCAGCAAAGTGAGTACCAGAGCGAGAAAGGGATCATCGTTCGCCTTCTAGACTTCCTGGAAAAGAACCCACAAGAAGATCATGGAAAGATCAAGCTTAAGAACAAGCAAGAATGTAAATAAAAGATTCTAAAAAGAGAAAAATAAGGAGAGAAACCCCTTGTCTGGTTTCGATGATGCTGCATTATCCTCTAGCGCAATGATCCTCCATTCCTTGAAATGCAAGGAAAGCTACCATCACAAACCATCTCCACTCTTGATGCAATCTTAAACTTTGCTTCTTTAGAAAGCTTCTCAAGAAATTGCATGATCACTCGAGTCCAAGACCTCCTTTTTGCATGGATGATTGCCTCAGGCTTATCGATTCTTGCAAGACACTTTCTTTTGCTCGGCAGATTCGAGCTCGTCTTGACTGTGCCGGCACTGTGTTTATCTCCAACAAGCTCATTGAGATGTTTGGCAGGTGTGGTGGAGTGCAAGATGCCGAGAGTGTCTTCTATGCGATGGACAAGAGGGATCCCTTCTCGTGGGATGCAATGCTCCTGGCGTATACGAAAAACTCTTGCCTGACCCAAGCAAGGGTTTTCTTTTTTGATCTAATGCCGGAACAGAGCCTCATTGCCTGGACTGCAATACTCGTGGCACATGCCCAAAAAGGGCATCTTGTTGAAGCAAAACGGCTGTTTGAAAGTATGCCTTTTAAAGACATAGTAGCATGGAACGCCATGATAAGTGGGCTTGCTCAACACGGACACTTAAGCAGCGCTGAGATACTCTTTGACCAAATGCCGCAAGTTAATCTTGTCACATGGAATGCCATGCTTACGGCATATGCCGAAAACGGGCATCTTGAAAACGCATACCACCTGTTTAATCAGATGCCGGAAAAAAATTTGGTTACTTGGAATGCTTTGCTTTCGGCTTTGGCACAAGCTCGACACATTACTGGCCTGCAAATTGTGTTCAATCAAATGCCACTGTGGAATCTAGTTTCTTGGACTTCGGTGCTGACCGCATATTCAATTGACCGGCATTTTGAAAAGGCTGAGCTGACTTTTAATGCCATGCCCGTATGGGATTTGGTTGCCTTCAATGCCCGGCTGACAGCCTCTTCTCAAAACGACTCTTATGAGAAAACAAAGAGAATGTTTGAGAAGATGCCAGAGCGTAACTTTGTCTCTTGGAATGCAATGCTTTCAACTGCTATTGCAAGCCGCGATCTTGATTCCGTAAATACATTGTATAATAACATGCCTCAGCATAGCTTTTATACTTGGAATATTGTTTTGGCTGCATACACACACTATGGCCTTATGGAAAAAGCAAAGGATATGTTTGAGACGATGCCGGAGGAGGATCTTATTTCTTGTAACACTATGCTTTCTGGATATGCCCAAAACCGGAATCTAGAGCTTGCCAAATTCATGTTTGATAGAATGCCACAAAGGGACCTATTTTCCTGGACTGCTCTTCTCTCTGGTTTCTCACAAAATGGCTTTATTCAGGAGGCTACTAGTGTGTTCTACCAAATGCCAAAGAAGGACTTTGTTGCATGGAGCGCCTTTCTTTCAGCACATGCCCAAAACGGGCACCTTTTATACTGTAAGTTGCTATTTGAGAGAGCCCCAGAGCAAGATTTAGTGTGGAGTGCAATGCTGTCTGCATATGCCCATAATGGTCACTCTAAAGAGGCCATTGATCTTTTTGATGCCATGAAACTCATGTCTATACCCAATGACATATGTTTTTTATCTGCTCTTCTCGCTTGTAGCCATGTTGGAAAAACCCACACAGGTCACCACTGGTTTTTGTCGATGCAAGCTGACTTTAACGTCAAACCCAACCAGCGGCACTTTTGTTGTATGGTTGATCTTTTGGGACGTGCTAGCTATTTGGTTGATGCAGAGGATTTAATTACTAATATGCCCTTTGAGCCGGATATTTTAGAGTGGACGTGTTTTCTTGGAGCTTGCAAGAGTCACAGCCATGTTCCATTTGGAACTAATGCAGCAAAGAATGTGTTCGACCTTTGTCCTAGGGGTGAAGCTCCTCAAGCTTATCCTTTGCTTGCAAATTTAATTGGTCAAAATCTGGATTTTTAGTAACTCTTTTGTTTTAAAGAGATGTTATATGATAATTTATTTTAGACATGTCAATGAGAACATAACTTATCACTACCTAATGCCCACCAAACATTGTTAGGACGTTTTTCAGAGTATATAACTACATTACAATCATTTTGAATAGTAAAAAATAAAGTGCAACCAAGGAATTTACAAAATTGATTAATTTCCCATACTGTTTTCTCTATTAGATTTAAAATAAGATTACCATTTTTTTGAAATTTCAACATACAATTATAACCATATTGTGTTGTACTTGATTCCCAAATTTTATTTCTTTCAAAGTACAAAACAAGGTTGCAATGTGATTCAAGAATAAAAACAACTTTACCATTTGGAGAAATTAAAAATTGATCTGTATAAAGTGTTGAAGGATTACTTATAGAATTGACTTCTAAATAACAATTAGAATTATAATAATATTTTCTTTTTAATAGAGATATACTTTCGTTTTTAGATATATGTAAATCTGTAATTTGAACCGTAATTGCAAAACTTCCATCATATAATATGACATAGCCAACTTTGTTTTTCCTTTTTATAAAACAGGTACTGAAAATAAATTTTAGAGCTTGCTCAAAATCATGTTGTTTTTCTTCAAAGCTTACAATTTTTAAGCTTAATGTAAGTGTAAAATTTATGTTATTATAGGAAAATTTATATATTTTATTTTCTATATTATTTCTTAAAATTATATAGCTATAGGTAATGTTTAAGAAGTTAGAGTAGTCTTGAGGTGAAGGCATATTATGATGAGTAGAATTAATAACACATTCTTGAATAGATCTATTAGATACATATGCTTGACATTCATAAAAACTTAGAAGAATAACAAATAATATCAATATTGCCATTTTTATCTCTATAATATAAATATAATTGTATTATATATAAAAGTATATCCATTTTAAAAGTAATATTACACTTTTGGTTTAATGCACCAAACAAAATTTTATTGTCTCCAATATACAATTGCACATATCCTAAGAATATACTCATCTGACTGATGTAGAGAAAAATGTTCACTCCCACTCTTCTGGGAAATTGTATGGATACAAACATTGATTATATAATTATATATAAGAGAGAGAGAGAGAGAGAGAGAGAGAGATTGTATTAGGTTAATTGGGTTATATAGTCTTGTTTCAATAGTATATAAATGAATGAATGGACATTAGATTTTGGAGCATTAATACATATATTTTGTTGCATGGACAAGTATAAATATGGATAGAAATGAATGCCTTCGTGTAATTGGCAACACTGCAAATTTATCTAGAGGAAGGAGAATTCATGCTCAAATCCAACAACTTATCTACCCCACAGATACATATATACTAAATAAGCTGGTTGAAATGTATGGAAAATGTGGGAGCCTAAAGCATGCTAGACAAGTATTTGATAACATTTGTGTAAAAGACTCATTCTCATGGGATTTCATGCTCATTGCCTACACAAGAAATGGGGATATTGAAAACGCCAAAAAATTCATTGACCAGGAAATGCCTTATAGGACGAAAGTTTCTTCTACGGCAATGCTAGACAGATATGCCCAAATGGGTGAAATACACCACGCGAAGTTGATCTTTGATACTATGCCAGAACCTGACATGATCTCATATTCTACAATGTTAGTAGGTTACGTACAGGCTGGATATTTTAAACAGTCTAGGGAAATGTTTCAAGAGATGCCATTGTGGAACCTTATAGCTTGCACGGCAATGGTGACAGCATATACCCAATGTGGGCATCTAGCAGGATCAGTACAAGTATTTGAGAACATGCCAGAGTGGGACTTAGTTGCTTGGAACGCAATGCTGGGAGCATACTCAAGCCACTCACTCATCGTAGATGCAAAGAAGTTCTTTTCATTAATGGGCGAGCATGACTTGGTATCCTGGAACACGATGCTAGCCGCATATTCCAGAACCGGGAATCTCGAAGATGCTAAGCTCACGTTCGATAAGATGCCGGAGCACAACCTCGTCACCTGGAACACTATGCTAACTGGATATGCCCACCACGGGCATATCGAGCAAGCGAGAAACCTGTTCAGGGAAATGCCTGCGCGGGATTTAATGTCCTGGAATGCCTTTCTAGCTTCGTGCTGCAAGGCGGAGCGCTTAAAAGAGGTGGAGCTTCTATTTCGTGAGATGCCAGAGCGCGATCTCGTCTCGTACAACATACTTCTCACATTGTATTGTCGCAGCAAGAACTATGGTGCTGCAAAAGAACTGTTTTCCCAGATCGCTGTGGTCAACGTAATATCATGCAATGTTTTTCTTGCTTACCTTGCTCAGGATCCAGACGTTGAACCGATCAGAATTTTTTTTGCCAAGATGCCACAGAAAGATCTTGTGTCGTGGACTGCACTGCTGGCTGCCTATGCCCAATCCGGGCATGTAGATTTCGCACGATATATCTTTGATACGATGCCAGAGAGGGATACCACGTCGTGGAACGCGATGGTGGCGTCGTACACGCGTGGCGGTCATCTGGAAGCCGCAAGGGCACTGTTTCTCGAAACCCCGCTCAAAGATCTGATCACCTGGAACACAATCCTGTCAGCCTATGCCCAAGCTGGTCATGTCACAGAAGCGATGCGTACCTTCAATGAAATGCCAGAGCGAGACGTAGTCTCTTGGAACACCATCATGTCTGCCTATTTCCAAAGCGGTCGTGTCCTTCTTGCAAGACGAACGTTTGACGCCATGCCCAGCAAGGATTCGATTTCCTGGAGCACCATGCTGGCTGGGTACTCCCACGCTGGGCATGCCAAAGACGCGCAGGACCTCTTCATGGGCATGAGCGCTCTGGACGCGGCCAGTGACGTCTGCTTTGTGCTCCTTCTCATCTCGTGTTGTCATGACGGGGAGCTGGAGACTGGCAAGTCGTGTTTTATCTCCATGGTGATGGACTTTGGAATTCGACCAACGAAGCAGCACTACTGTTGCATGGTCCGGCTGTTTGGACGTGCCGGCTACGTGAAGGAGGCAGAGGAGCTTGTCGCGGCCATGCCTTACGTGCCAGACGTGGTGGAGTGGGCGTCACTGCTCAGCACCTGCAATGCAAACGATCAGCACGTTGGAAGCACCGCGGCAATGCGTGTCATGGAGATTGACTCCAGTGTTGCAATTACTTACGTGTTGCTTGCCAACGCTTGTGCTGCTCCTCCGTCGCAGAGAGTACAGCCGAAGCAAGAAAATGATTCCTCCCGGTTGACTGTGACGTGAAAGATCCTCCGGTGAGTACTTTCATTTTAACAACGGCTGCTTAGCTCTTACCTGGGCCAGGTTCCGCACGAACTCGACTTTACTTGGCTGCTGATACAATATACTTGTTTACTGTAGAAAAAAGGGGGACGTCCGGCGAATGCTTTGTTTCAAAGAGATTGGTTCAGGCTCTGGCTGGCTGGCTGGCTGGCTGCATGAATGCGCGTATCAGAAAGTCCAATCACAAAATACAACAGTTCCCATGCCTTTGTTCAGACGCAAGATAAAGATTAGAAATAAAAGAAGAAGAGAACAACTCATACTCACAGTCGAATGAATTCCCGTCTCGCCTGGGCTTGTTCGCTGTCTTTGGCTGCCCACCTAACAACAGTCACAGTCGGATCAGTAAAGCGTTTAGAGAAAGAAGTGGCCGTGAATGCGAAGGACTCGTGAAACACCGTAGATGTAAATGCAAAGAAAACTTGGCAGAAGCAAGTAAAGCCAGTCAGTGCCACGCCAAAGTCTGCCTGCCTTGTATGGTAGATAGATAGAACGACAGATGAGTAGATAAGACGCCAGGGAGCATCGCCAGAGCCTTTCAGTGCGCAGCTGCACAAGGAGCAGGAGAGCCCCTCTTCAACTCATCATCACCATCATGTCCACAGGAATAAAGAAAGACTGCCGCAAGGATGTGCTGGAAGCAAAAGAGAAAAGAAAACACATTAAAACAAAACCAGAGAAGGAAAGCCAAAGCAGCAAAGAATACCTCTCTCTGCTGCAGCGAGCACGTTGGTTGATTGATTGAGGCAAGAAGAGAGAATGCCGTTCCAAACACAAAGCCATGATGCCTCCAGTGGCATCGCTGCTCAGTACAGGCATGGGCTTGGCGTATAGTGGCAGCCAGCCAGGATTCAGGAAGACGAGGCTCCTTGTGAAATATAAAAATTGCGAAAAGTAACAAGAACACACGAGTGAGTGGTGATTTAGCAAGAAAAAAGATGCAGCACCAGAGAGCACGGACTTGTTGAGTGACGACTGCGAACATTTAATCGCCTCCAAAGTGAAAGAGATTGTGAGTTGAGAGGTACCTCTCCAACTCGGCCCTGATTGAAAACTAACATGTCTTGTATTTCATTAAAACCAATGACTGCTGCAAGTCACAGAGGAGCGAGTCTTTATCCTGCAACGAAGGAATGTAAGTGAGTAAATGGAGCTTGCCTTTCCGAAATTATTAAGTATAGAGCCCAGACCTGAAAACGCTTGGAAGATACTCAAGTTATCCACAAAACAATTCCCCAAAAGTTCTTCCTGGATCATCAGCAACTCATCAAATAATCAGTAACGTCTGCAAAAGCAACTGCCTCGAACCTGTGCTTCCAATACCAAGCAAGCATCCAGGCTTGCTTTCTCAAATGCCTTCTACCGGGAAAGCAAAGAGACAGGTAAAGAAACGAAAAAACCAGCTTCCGTATACAAAAGAGTTGGAGCACTTACTACAGATAAAGCAAAGCTTTCAGGTCGCAGCAGCCAGCCCACCATGCTCTCCGTCTCTAACACCCTTTCTTTTTACACTTGGGCTGCCTGCGCTTGTAATGTAGCTCTCTAAGTCACCAGGCAAACTTCTCGAGCCAAGAAGTTATTTCATTTGCCTGCAAAAAAATTGTTTCTCGCCTGCTACTGGTGCTTCCTCCTTATTCCCTCCACTAAGTCATGCACCTCGGGCTATAAAATATAGTGCTGCACCGCATCTTCGAGCTTTTGTTGGCTAGGACCCAGCATCTCGGTTACTTTAAGCCCGTTCTTGTACAGCTTGAAAGTTGGGACGGTACCTACACCCTCAGTCTTGGCCAGAAATGGGTGGTCCTCGATATCAACCTGCAGCGAATTAGATGCTGAGAAAAGCAAAGCATAAAAAAAAGGAGCGGCTACCTTGACAAAGTTGACAGAAGGATATCTTTTTGACAATAAATTGATAAACGGCGTAATCTGCTTGCACCGCTCGCTCCATCTGGTTATGAAATGAACGACAGCTAGACCTGAAAGCACAGCACAAGCTTAGAGTGGGTTTCTCACCGCCATGCAGCACTTGGCTGTGTAATACCTGGAGATGTGATGGCTTCCTTGAATTGGTCGGGGCTATAGACCTCCTCGACTCCACCTCCTCCAAAACTGACTTTGTAAACTTCTTCTCCTCTTGCTTTCTTCTGAGCGATTTGCACTTCGAACAGTGCCCTGGCAACTTCCACGTCCCCAGGAAGCTTACTTTTCAGAACCATGTAGTCTTCGAGTGCACTGTCCCATCGCTCAAGCTGCATCATATTAAACGACAGGCCTATCAATCAGCAAGTAATAGAGATTGAAGTACCTGGGTGTAACACTGTGCACGTCGGAGAAGAGCCTTTGTGTAACTGGGCTGTACGTTGAGGGCAGCGTTACAGTCCTCAATAGCCTTCTCCCAAAGCCGGAGCTTCGACCTGCATGCTGCTCTGTTGCAGTATAGGATGGCATTTTCTGGATCGAGCTCCAATCCCTCGCCGTAAGCGGTTGAAGCCTCGAGGAATTTGCCAGCCTTGAAAAGGTCATTGCCGGTTGCTCTTGCCTTCACTAACCTACGGACTGTCTTGTCGAATCCAGAAACTTCCGCATTGAACGGTTCGTTTGCGCTAGCTTTCTCTGCTGCTTGAAGCGCTTCTTCAAACCTGTAACTTGAATCAGGTATTGGACATAAGCATTTAAAACATTACCGTCCTTGAGCCAGGTCTATCTTCGCTTGAGCGATGAAGTACACGCGTTCGTCCACTACATGCTTTTGTTTCAAATTCCGCTGGGCGCACAAAATGGCCCTATCAGCTTCGTTCACCTTACAAAGGTTTAGCAGAGCTTCTGCCTTGAGAGCGTATGCCTGCATTTTGAAGAAAAAACTTGAGAACATACTTACACCGGGAACTACGTACCTGGACCGAGGAATCCGCACCCGCAACGACAGCCGCATCACTCTCTCTTATAACCATTTGCCAATCTCTCAGCCTTCTCGCGTCGTGACACTTGGCTAGATGAAGAGCAATACTTTCCAATCGCTGCAAGTCTCCGCCTTCATTTCCTTGCAAATGCCTTTTCGCCTCGTCTGTCCATCCTAGTCTGGAACAAGACACCAACCATAAGATGATGCAGCAAGGAGTTGGAAAACTGGGACTGTACCTGAGAAACAGTGTTCCTAGCCGCAAGTGTGCACGAGAATAACTTGGATCAAGGACGATGGCTTGTTGGCATTCCTGTACAGCCTCAACCAAGCGTCCCAGTGCTGCCAAAACGGCTGCTCTGTTGCTGTGGTAAGGCGCTTGACCAGGTGACAAAGATATCGCTCGATCGTACAGAGACAAGGCCTCCAGGAAGTGGCCTTTCTTATACTGGTCGTTTCCGATGTTCTTAACTTCTTCTGCGTCCTTGCTGGTGAGAGCCTTCTTCAGCAACATACTTTCGCCCATGAGGAACACATTTCCAGTTCCATAAGACTCAGCCGTGACCTTTTTACCGTTCGGTTTTTGAGGATCGTTGCTACTAGCGAGTGCACCACCTTTACTTACGCTGCCGTAAGATGGTATCGTCGACTCCTGCGCAACGGAGGTCTTCTCACCGGCAGGGACACCGCCTCTGGCAAAGCTACCGCCAGAAACAAACCCGCAATTCATCCCTTCACTTTGAACTTTTGCTGCTGCTCCGGTTGGCTTGATCGATGGAGGCGTAGCTTTCTCAGCAGCAGGAACCTGAGGCTTAGAGGCTGAAAGGTTTGACCGGAAAAGGTTGCCTCCCCTCGCGCCATTGTTGAACACTCCCCAGTTTCCATCACTCACGTTTCTGGAATGTCGAATGGATGGAACCTCCTTGTTCAGCGTTCGAGGAGGACTCCCGGTATAACTCCTTGCCTTGCCGCCACCTTCCGTCAACTCTCCTCGTTTTGGAGTTACTCTCACAACTCCATCCGGCTTCCTGTCAGGAAACGCAGAGTTCGTCGCGAAGCCGGCCTTGCTGTCTTGAACGTCAGACACTTTGGTTGGTTCCTTCGATCTCGCTTTCGTTGGACTGGTGAAATATAATCTGCTGTGTCCCTCCTCCGGGAAGATCATACTAAAGCTTCCTTCGCTGAGATTGCGAGTCCTTGGAGCCGGTCGAAAGTTAGCTGGGCTGCTAGGCCAGCTTTGGTGAGACGATGCTGCGGCTTTAGAAATCCTCGTCCTCGTACCACCAATAGTTCCTCCACTGCCATTGGCCACCACACCGCCAATTAGCTTCGAAGGTTGGCTTGTCGATGGAGCCTCTCCCACTTCCGAAGTGATTTCTCCCGAGCTGTGTCTACTGGATGGCTTGGGAGCTGCGACCGCACCGTCTACATCGGATCTGGAACTCCCGATCTCGGTCTTGGAATCGGCCTTCTTGGTGGGCGCTGTAAGCTCCCCAGACAGTTTCCTCATCACAGGTGGCTTTGGAATCTCGTCGCTCGGCAATCCCAGCTTGACAGTGGCATCTGCGATGCGATCGGCCTCTGGAGGATTCGCCGCCTCCAGAGTGGTGCTCGTGGAAACGGTCTCAAGCGATGCTCGGCTGGTTTGATTGTGCTTCTGCTGCTTGAAAAACATTGGCACGATCATCTCCGCGCTGTTAGCCGCCGATGCCGCCGCGTACTTGGAGTAGCTTCTAAATGGCTTGAGATGGTCGCCACCATAGCCAGAGCAATACAGCCTCCCGCCATGCATGTCGAAAGTGCCGATGGGCTTGCTTTCCGCATAGCACTGCGCCATATCCACGATTCAGTGGATGGTTGATAGAAATTTACCTCGAAATTTCAGACGATCCTCTGCGTTGCTTCCCAAACCAATGCTGGAAAGAAAATCGCAATGCTGCGAATCAGGGGAGCGCGATCAAGCCCGGCTTCACTGGAAATGTGTCAGATCTACGCACATCTGGTACCATAAACGAGCGAGAGAATGCAGGGGATGTGCCGCCGCCTGCATTCACGAAGGACGCCTCCTCGTCCTCCAGCGCTGCTAGGGTAGTGAAGCAATGCCTCACAGTCATCCCCCGCTGGAGCTGGAGTGGCCGTCAAGCGAGCTTGAGCGCCCGAAATATCGATTAGCCGGGTCGATCTAGCACAGCGAGCGCGACCTAGGCGATTCCTAGCGCCAATGCAGATCCACACGCCGCGGATCAAAGAATTTCGAGCAGCGCGGCACCGGCGCCTCCGTGAATCGATCGATCGATCGAAGCCTCCAATGCCGCTATATCTACCGCTACTAGAATGCGCCAGTGCGCCAATGCAAGAACTCTAAGCTACCTACACACGCACAAATAGGCCATCGCTAAAAGCCGCCCCAAAGAGCCCTCGGCAACGCCAGCCGTCCGATCCGCCGCGAGGCCCCGGATCCGTAATGCCGCGCCGTGGTGGCGAGACATGGGCCGTCGGATCCGCGACCCGCACCACGTGGCCGTTGCACTAACCGCTAGATATGCGCAGCCGTGTGAAAGCGCCACCACGTGCTCCGCCCTCCGATTCCACCATCCGACGGCCACCAAGAGGGCAGCTGGCCATGTTTGCCAGCGCTGCGTGAGCTGCCTCTACGGGCACTAGGCTTTGCTTGATCAATCAATGGTACGGGATTATGGGCGATGGGAATATCCCCTCCCTCCAAAACAATTGCGTGTGCGAAAGATCCAGCTATGTGTTAGGTATCCACGAGCCACGTCATTCGCATGCAATCTCCCGTCGATTCCAGAGAATATGCGTCGTGAAAGGGCAAAAGAAAAATTTCCCGCTACCACGAGATCAATGTGGTGGAGGTCAGGGCTTTTGTTTTCATGGACTTCTTGCGAGGCGTTTTCGCTTTTCCATCGTCTTGTTCATATTTTCCATGTTTTCAAAGACTGGGTTTTAGGTCTTGGAAAGGCTGGCAAGACATGGCGTATAACCGGCGCGCCCGCCCGCCGCCGCGAAAGCAGGGAAATTAAAAAAAGGAGGGAGGTCGAAGAAATCTATCAATCAATCAATCACTAGTAAAGCCCTTGGCAGTGCGAGAAGTGGACATCACATGCCAAATGAAAGTCTGGACTTACAACAACAACAACACATAGACACACCCACACAATGTCATAGTTATAGAAACAATATAGTATTTCTACACCCGCAACTACATACCATGTATATGGAGTGTGATGAGGAAACGCCAGCCAATCTTTTCGTCCCAGGGCCAGCCGTGAATAATCAAACAGCCAGCCGAGCTTCTTCTAGAAAGCCGAAAGATTTGGATGCAAATCTTGGCCGCCAAGCTAAACCTTGTTGATTTTGCAATGTATCGAAGCCTCCTCGGGGGATTTGTTTACGAAAGCCGAAAGAGTGGGCGGAGATTGTGATTGATCGCGAGCTCTTGTTAACGCTGATCGTAGATCACTTGCAAGGACGACAAAATCTACGAATGATAAGACTTGGTATAAGCTTCTCGTCCAATGATTGGAGGGGTGTGTATGGAATATGCTGTCCAAGATCCTTGGCCACCATTAAAGTATAACGCATTCAATCTCTTGTGCTGGTTGCTCCAACCAAATTGGTTTGGCTTGGCGTGCTCGCGATTAAATCGCGCCCATGAGCGACAATGTTTCCATATCGCGCCATTCAATTCCCCCAAAAGCTGTGGAAGAATTGCCCAGACCTAGCATCTCCCCGCAAGAAAAGTTGGTGGAACAACGAAAGGGAGCTCGCAAATTTGGTGGTGCCACTCACTCACATTGATTCGAAAACGAATGTGAGAAAAACGTGCGGACGTGGACGCGACGTGTCATTCCTGCCGCCACGCCACTATGACACGTGTTAGGGCGGCATCTTCTCTTTCCTTTTGCCTGGCAAGTGTTTGCTGGAAGAAATGCAAGCTTTTGGATGGCTGGCATGTGAGGGTTTGCTGGCCTTGGAAGTGACAGAAAGGGTTTTAAGTTCGTTAACGTGGTCTTGTTGAAGGGATCTCTCTGCCCTGGAATACTTTTAATCCGCCCCATGTTGTAAAGCTCTCCCTCGCGTGATTGATTTGATCGCATCTATCCGACCAGTGAATTTGGACAGTCAACTCGAGCCAAGTGTTGGGATCGAGAGGGAAATGAAACATCAATCAAGTCGGGCTCGAGACGATCGAGCACGTCTTCCTGGATCGATATCCCCCTACTTAATTAGTGATTTGCGATCACATGGGAGTGGATGGAGAGCGATTGATCGATCAATCAATCGCTGGAGATCTTGACTAATGCAGCCTTTGTGACAGTGATCTTATAGAAGATCATGCAAGGGTCCGGGGGTGTAACAAAATCGCTACAGAGTTTCAAATTAGAGATGCCCGACTCGAAACTAAACTCCAAATCTTTCAACAGTGCCACCTTGTCTCGTGACAATAAACTTCTGGACGACCATTTCCAAGAACTCCGTTTTTTACTTGGCTATGGAGGGCTTGTTTCAAATCGGCACGGCAGCAATTTTTCTATCATGGATTGCCTGGAGTCTGTTCTTCGCGCCAAGAACAAGGATCTACCGAGGTAATTTGCCCCCCTCGCCAGGATTTGCTCTCCCGATAATCGGCCACCTTCACTTACTTGGCAAATTGCCACACGTCTCCTTCATCGAACTGGCCGAGCGCTATGGCCCGTGTCTAATGCTCAAGCTTGGATCATATCCATGCCTGCTTATCTCGTCGCCCGAGTTTGCTCGAGAGGCTCTCAAGGTGAACGACATCGTCTTCTCATCGCGGCCCAGCTTGGCGGCCTCCAGGATCCTGGGAGACAACGCGGCGGGGATTCTATGGGCTCCCTACGGCCAGCAGTGGAGAAACTTGCGCAAGCTTTGCTCGCTGGAGCTCCTGACCTCGAGACGAATCGAGGAATCGCGGCCGGTGCGAGCGGCCGAGGTTGCGGCAGCGATGGCGAGAGCAAAGGAGATGTCCAAGGCGGGGATTTGCGTGAACTTGACGAGCTTGCTCGCGGATCTCACTTTCGATATCATGCGAGTGTGTGTCATGGGATCGTCGGAGAGCTCCCGATCCTCGGCCGGGGTTTACAAGCGAGCGATGAAAGAATCCTTCGTTGCTGGCGGGGAAGTTCACGTCGGCGACTACGTACCTTGGCTCTGGTGGTTGGATCTCGCAAAGGTGGCGCGCATGAAAAGAGTTCACGGCGAGATAGACGATATCATCCAGAAAGAGATCGACGAACACCGCGGCAATAGCAGTGGCAGTGACGATTTCATCACTGCCACCCTTCGAAACGACGAGATTTGCCGCACGGATCGCGATCGCAAGGGACTCATCAGTGTAAGAATCTCTTGATCTCTTTGTTGTTGTTTCGATCGATCGTCCACTTCCAGGATGTGATAGGAGGCGGCACTGACACCAGCGCTTTGACGGTGGAGTGGGCGATGGCGGAGCTCATCAACAATCCTCGATCGCTGGAGCGAGCACAAGAGGAGCTCCTCCAAACTTTCGGCAGAAATTCGCTCGTGGAGGAAGATCGACTGGAGGAGCTCGAGTTTCTAACCGCGGTGGTGAAGGAAACACTGCGCTTGCATCCACCATCCTCATCTACGAGACAACGCACGAGTGCCAACTCGAGCGCTACACCATTCCTCCAAAAACTCGCGTCTTCATCAACATCTATGGGATCGCCAGGAGCGAGGCGTCGTGGAGCGATCCCCTGGCTTTCAAACCCGAGAGATTCCTGGGCAGCGGCGCGATCGATGTCCGCGGCCGCGACTTTGAGGTGCTCCCGTTTGGATCCGGCCGGCGTGGATGCCCCGGGATTCAGCTGGGATTCACGATGGTGATGCTCGTCCTCGCGAACTTGCTGCACGGATTCCACTGGAGCTTACCGCCAGGGCTATCGCGGCTGGATATGAGCGAGGAGAGTGGCCTCACGATCCCTCGCGCGATCCCTCTCGAGCTCCTGGCAGTGCCGCGCGCTTCTATCCTGTTTGAAATATATCAGAGAAAATATTTCTAGGGTTCTAGACATGAGCGATGGAGGCGAGGAGATTTGGCGATGGCGCCATCGCTCGGCAGCTATTCTCGATCAAGGCAAGTGTGGCGGCATTGAAATCTTGCACCGGCGCCAGGGATTTGGAGAGAGGGAGGAGGATCCACGCCGATGCGATCCACACAGGGTACGATTCCAATCCTCGTGTGGCGAGTAGCTTGATCAACATGTATGGAAAATGCGGCAGCGCGATGGAGGCTCGACGGGTTTTCGATCGAATCCAGGACAGGGACAGGGATGTAGTGGTCTGGACAGCCATGATTCTTTGCTATGCTGAGAATGGGGAGGGGTTTCTTGCCTTGGATCTCTTCTCCAAGATGATCCGCGATGGCTTCTCGCCGAATTCATGGACTCTGGTAGCTCTTCTCAAGGCCTGCTCGAGCCTGGCAGCGAAAGAACGAGGTGTCCAGGTCGGGGAAAAATTCGTGAAGGCGGATTCTTTGGAGAAAGGAATGGCGATTCACTCTAGAGTGCTGGGTGATGAGCTGAGCAACACTTTCGTAGCAAACTCGCTCGTCAACTTTTATGCCAAGTGTGGGAGCATGGTGGATGCAGCCAGAGTTTTCGACAGCATGAAGGAGCGCGACGTGGTGTCCTGGAACTCCTTGGTTCTCGGGCACGTAGAGAATGGAGAGCTCGAGCAGGCTCTAGAGGCGATCACCCGATGGATTGAAGACGGCCAAGGTTTTGGAAGTTTCAACCATCTCAGTTTCGTGGCTGTTTGCAAGGCTTGCATTGGCTTGGCCGAGAGAGAAGATGGTCCGCTCCAAGACAACGGTAAGCTTGTCAAGGTGAAGGCTTTAGAGAAAGGCATGGCCTTCCACTCGCAAGCGTGCTTGTCCGGCTGCTCTTCGGAAGCTCTGCTGGCAGGCACGATGGTGGACATGTATGCCAAGTGTGGAAGCATGGAAGACTCTCGGCGAGTTTTCAATGAAATAGTTTGCGGCCGCGGCGGGGGCAGAAACTCTGCCATCGATCTAGTGGTGCCTTGGACTTCACTTGAGATGGGACTCGTAGAGAATGGCGAAGCAGGCGTAGCTCTGGAGCTTTTCTATCAGATGGTCGACCATGGACTTACTCCAAACTGCCGAACTTACGTTGCTGCGCTCAAAGCAGGCTGTGGCTGCCTGGAAGCGGTGAAGAGACTCCACGCTGGGATCTTAAGATCCGGAATGCTTGAGAGAGATTTGCTTCTGGGAAACTGCCTGGTCGACGTTTATGGCAAATGCGGCAGCACAGTCGATGCTCAGCTCGTCTTTGATGCGGTTCCAACGAGAGATTCGGTGACTTGGACATCACTGCTCGCTGGCTACAGCCTCCATGGCGACGCTCGCCTCGTGTTTGAGTTTCTCCAGGCCATGCAGGACGATTCTTGTCGGCCAAATGCGGTGGCTCTCCTCTGCGTTCTAGCCGCGTGTAGTCGCTCGGGCCTGGTTGACGAAGGGAAGCAGTGTTTGGAGGCGGCTGTAGCAAGGGGTGGTATTGAGCCAGGGATTCAACATTACAGTTGCATGGCAGACTTGTTGGGACGTGCTGGTGGAGTGGAAGCTATGGTGGAAGCGATGCCTCGCTCCTGGGAGGGGAACTCTGTGGCATGGACGATGCTACTGGATGCCTGCCGAAAGTGGGGGAACGTTGCGGTGGGAAAGGTGGCGTTTGAGAAATTGACGAGGCTGGAGAGAACATCTTCAGGAGCACCAACAGCAGCCTACGATTTGATGGCAAGTCTCTTCGTAGCTTCGAACTAGTTGCTGAGACTCGTCAAGCCAGACGTTTTTGTTTTTCCTCCGGAAAGGCGTTGGAGTTGCACGGCACGGCCAACGAAGAGATGTTTTTTTATTTTCCTCCGGAATGCGTTTGAGTTGCACGGGATTACATTTACATTACATCACGGCAAGGCCAAGCTCTCCAGGTGAAAACTTCTTGTTTTTTTCATTGTCTCCTGAAAGCTTCCATTTTTATTTACAGGGACTTGAAAGTCTTGCAACTGGAGTTTTTTCCGCATCCTCTTCGTGCTTAAAAGGTTCGTACTTTAATTGGTCGAGACTTTTTCTGTTGTTCTTGATTTCTTTTCTATATGCAGACAACTTGCTGCGCAGAGAAAAAAAAAACTTTTCTTTGGCCCCGAAACAACGCACGAAGGAACAGAGCTGTTCTTCATCTCTAAAGGCTCGTTTGTTCTTTTGTATGTAAAGTTTGAGTTTGTCTAACATTTTGTTGTTCTTCTTCTTCCCGCAACAGCTTTCAGAGTCGGCGTGCTTTGATTATTTTCCCCTTTTTTCCTGGTCTTGGCTACATCCGCTTCTGGTAGGCACACTCTGATTTGTTTAATCCGCTGTTGTTTTACTTTCTGCCGCTTCGTGCATATCCTCAAGTCCGCTCCAGCTAAGTTGCGCATGCAAATGCGTTAGCACCGCCATTGTCAACGAGCCACAAAGTCCCACCCGCTCGACGGTATCTTCGTCACGATCGATACTTCTTTTCGGTATTCAACGCGTATACTATTCTCGCGGCGCAGCTTCGTTGGTGGAGATAGATTGGATTGGACGCGAGACGCGAGAAAAGTGGGGTATGTTCGTTCATTCTCCCACCATCAAGTCTGATTTTATGTTCCGGAATTCCAGGAAGAACGTAGGCTGCCGACACTCCACTGTTTCACGTAGAACCGCTGCCAGAGTCGTCTCCAGGAACCTCGCCCCAGAAGTTTCGTGAGCGGAGAGCTCAATTCAAAGACTACAACAGGTATACAGTCCCGCGACTGTAGATAAAAGCGCTGCTTCAGCTTGCCTTTGGAATGGATCCAAGGGTCAACCACGTTTCGTTTTCAGGGGCCAGGGGGTTTATGAACAACGAAGAAAACGCGTCCGGCAAAACGCCAGTGGTGTTGCTTGCGCGGAGAGAATTTTCTAATGGCGGCGTGGTTTCCCAGTTCCAGTTGGATTTGCTTCGTGGCGAGCGGCGGTGGGACAACACGACACGGTCCTCTTCGTCGTTGAAAAGGGAAGGAAGCTGCCATTAAACGAGGAGAAAGAAGCAAAGAACTTGTGGTCCGCGCGTTGAAACTTTGCGAATGGTGGACGAGACGACTGACTGGCGACTTGAGAGACAAATTCACGAAGATATAATAATTTCAAATATAAATAAATAAATAAAAGAGGAAGAAACGCGCATTTTTTGTCGATTTGTCGTGTGGTGTTGAAGTCATTGGTGAATAGATGGAAGCGCTTAAACATGACTGACTCTCCTCGCGACTTAGTAAAAGGGGTTGCGAAAAAAAAAAAAAGAGGCTCTCCTTCGCTGCTTCGTTCCACTCCATTTTCTTGTTTGCTTGGTCCCTATATATTCTTCCAGCGCTCAATTCTTCTACCGAAGTTCTAATCGAGAGAGAATGGAGAGACAAACACCCACTCCCAATTCGCGCGAGAGTTTGGAGCTAGACGACCGCGGGAGCTCGTCGTGGGAGATGGGCAGCAGCACCAGCAACGATCACGAGGAGAGTAAGGTGAGGAGGAAGAAGAGGGGGAATTCCAAGCAGGCGATCGCGATTGACGATCACACCACCAGCAAGAGGTCGAGGAAGGCGAATTCTCCTTCTTCCTCGTCCGGCAAGAACAGGGGAGTCGAGAATTCCACGCCCACTGCAGTGGCGTCGAGTGATTTCCATTGCACCGCCACCACTTTCGTCCAGGCCGATGCCTCCAGCTTCCGGGATCTCGTCCAGCGGCTGACTGGCGCGAGCGATGATTCGATCAAGATGCCCATCACCAAGGCCTCGGGCCAGGGCCGCCCAAACCTCTCCTCCAAGCGCTCGCAAGCCGCCATGAAATTCTTCCAGCAGGGCCAGCTCCAGGATCCGCCCAAGCATATGGTGATCAAGGCTCTTCCTTCCACGAAGAATCTCTTCCTCAAGAATGCCATGACCGATCTCCTCAGTCCCAAATCGCCGCTCTCTCTGGCGCTAAATCCCTCTCCCAGTAGCAGTGCCTCTTCTTCCTCCAGCTCCTCGCGGCATCAGCGCGAGCTCCCGGCGGCCATGAATCGGATGTTTTTGCAGCTGGAATCGCCGCGGCCCAGCAGCAAATTGGAGCTCCTGCCGCTCTTTCCCATGCGCTAGCCCAGGCGTGGCCACCACCATTTTCAACTTCTCTTTCTTCATAGATCGTTTAGTTTACGTCCAAAGTTCCATTCGCGGAAGAACAGTTCGTGTAAAATCTATTAACTAAACAGCAAAGTTTTAAACTTCATCACTTGGACGATTCGTTCTTGCCAAACTAAAAGTCAAATAACGTGCAAAATAGAATAATTTTTGACAAGTTTATCTAAGGCAAGTTTGAGGAGGTGGACGTTAAGAAGTCGTTGTAGTATAGTGGTAAGTATTTCCGCCTGTCACGCGGACGACCCGGGTTCGATCCCCGGCAACGGCGATCTTCTTTTAAGTTTTTCGACTTTTTTATCCAGCCTCGAGATTGGATTTGTAGATATTCGAGAGCAAAACATACGAGGTGGAGTCTGTAAGATCCGGCAGCCACTTTGAATGGTGGCCAGATTTCTCCGCAAGAGCAAGAGTTTGTTGCTGGATCTTGCAAGCCGCGAGCAAGGCTCGGCGAGTTTCCGGCTGTGGAAAAAATGGCATGGTTTCGATCAGCTCCTCGGCTTGTTTGAGCAGTCCCACGCGGCTGTAAATGTCAACCATGGCCGAGTAGTGCCCCACCAGGGGCCTCACTTGATGCTCCACGCTCACAAGCACGAAGTATTTCGTCCCACTCTTGAGCAGGCCTCCGTGGCTGCAGGCCGCCAAGACGCTCGAAAATGTGATCTCGTCCGGAACAAAACCCTCCACCGCCATCACCAGAAACAAATCAATCGCGCTCTTGCCGTGCCCAGCCTTCGCAAAGCCAGAGATCATGGAATTCCACGTACCAACATCAGCTTTCGGAAGAATTTCAAACAGGGATCTAGCCTCCTGCATATGCCCATTCAAGGCATACGCTGCAATCAGAGTGTTCCAGGACAAAGTTGTCCGCACAGGCATCGTGTTGAGCACAGTCTTCGCCTCGGAGAGGTGCATGTGTTGCGCGTAGGCTGCCATGATCGCGTGCAAAGTCTCCAAGTTCTTTGCAGGCATGGAGAAGAATATCCCTTCGGCATCTGAGAGATACCCGTTCTGGGCATATCCCACCAAGAGAGCATTATATGCTATCAAGTCGTGCTCGGGCATGGAATCAAAGACGAGCTTCGCCTCCTCCACACGACCTTTCCCGGAATATGCTGTGATCATTGTTGTGAATGAAACCACATTCCACTCGGGCATCTTGTCAAAGAGTTTCCGAGCGCCGTCTAAGTTTCCATCTTGAGAGTAGGCTGCAAGAGCGGAGCTCCACGAAATAAGATCCTTTTGTTCCATGGAGTCGAAGAAGTCGATGGCTTTGCTCGTCTCCCCATTCAGCCCGAAAGCGCTCATGAGCCCGTTCATCGACACTAGATTCCTATGTGGCATCTTGTCAAACACAAGCTTGGCATTGTCTGGACGTCCGTTTTGAGCATAAGCTGAAACCATTGCGTTCCAAGTGATAAGATCCCTCTCCGGCATCTCGTCGAATGTTTTCTTTGCTCGATCCAAGCGACCATTCTGCGAATACGCCATGATCATTGTGTTGTAAGTCACCACATTGGGATTCGGCATGCTTGCAAACAAAGCATCGGCCTCTTCAATATGCCCAACCTGGGCATAAGCCGAAACCATACTAGACCACGAGACGACATCCTTGCAAGGAATGATATTAAAGACCTTTCTTGCCAGATCCAATTTCCCCGCTTGCACGTACGCGTTCATGATTCCGTTCCACGAAGCAGTGTTCTTCTGAGGCGTTCGATCGAACAGCAACTTGGAGCTCTCCAGATGCCCATTCTGGGCATATGCCACAACCATGGTGTTGTACGCCACCACGTCCGGTCGGGGGATGTGATCGAAGATGGTCTTGGTTTGCAGCAAAGTTCCGCTGCTGGCATAGATTCCAAGGATGATGTTCCACGAGAAACTGTTGGGAGTGTGGATGGAATCAAAGACTTGCTGGGCTTCCACCAGGCTGCCGCAGCGTCCATACATGAGAACGAGGAGATTGGCAAGAAAAGTGTTGGTGGCTGCGTGAGAGGTTTGCGAGATCTGCGCGTGGATCCGCCGCCCCTGCGAGAGATTGGTGGCATCCGTGCACGATCGCAGCAGCGCCGCGTAATGGTTTTGCTCGCGAATCTCGTCGTCGGAGTAGAGCGACTTCCGAGGAGATTGGATGGGAGACGATGGTAGCTTGAGCTCCATTACGTAGGAAGAATGCTCAGTGATCCATGGTCATGGAATGGGCGACGTCACTTACTTTGCCCATCTTCTCCACTCTTGCAATGATCTCCATCTGGGCAGGCAAATCCACGCTCGTATACAGGAAATCCCATCGCTAAGCTCTCATCTATACCTCTCAAATCTCCTCGTCCTCATGTATGGAAGGTGTGGAAGCGTGAAAAATGCCCAGGAAGTCTTCGACTCCATCGCTTATCCCAATGATTTCTCGTGGAACATCATGCTTGGAGTCTACTCCCAGAACGGGCATCTCCAGGAAGCCAAGAACACCTTCGATCGAATGCCAAATCCAAACGCGGTGTCCTACAATTCCATGGCCGCGGCATATGCTCAAAACGGGAACCTCGATCGAGCAAAAGAGACCTTCGATCAAACTCCGAGAAAGGATGTCGGGTCGTGGAATGGGATCATTCAAGCGCTTGCTCAAGCTGGGTATGTCGAGGCTGCAAGGGAAGTTTTCGACGCCATGCCACAGAGAGACATTGTATCGTGGTCTACTCTTACTGCAGCATATGCCCAATCGGGGCATTTGGAGAAAGCCGAGAGTTTGTTCTTGAGAATACCAGAACCAAATGTCGTGACATGGAACACGATGATTTCCGCTTATGCCGAGGTCGGACGTACGAAAGATGCCATGCTCGCGTACGACGCCATGCCGCAGAGAAATATGGTGTCAATGAATGGATTACTGCGTGCTTTTGGGCTTGCTGGGAAGACGAAGAGCGCAGCCATCTTGTTTTACAAGTTGCCCGAGTGGGATGTGGTCTCATTTACAACAATGATCATGGTGTATTCTAGGAGAGGTTGTGTGGAGGAAGCAAAGCTTGTGTTTGATTCCATGCCCGAGCACGACATGGTAGCGTACAATGCCATGCTTGTGGGATATGCCGAGAATGGGTATATTTTGGATGCGGAAAGGGTATTCTTTTCTATGCCCGGGAATAACATGGAAACACTGCATGCGCTCATGGCATCTTACGCACAGCATATGCATTTTGCGAAAGCTATGAACGTTTTAGACACAATGCCTGTACGCACGACCCTGTCATGGAACACAATGGTGGCGGCATATGCCCAAAATGGGTATATACAGAAGGCAAGATCCATGTTTGCGCTGCTTCCAAGAGCAAATGTTGATACTTATAACTCGATGATCAACGGTTTTGCAAAGGCTGGATATGGGAATGATGCTATCATCCTGTTTTATGAGATGATTTTGATAGGAGTCTTTCCAGACTCATTCACATTTTCAAGTGTATTAGCAGCTTGCAGCCATGGAGGTCTGCTCAAGAATGGGACTAAACTTTTTGTGCTGCTAAGCGGAGAACATCAAGTGACACCTCACGTGGAACACTATTCTTCCATGGTTGATATTTACGGCCGGGTGGGGCTTGTTACAGAAGCACAAGAACTTATTGATACAATGCCATTTTTTCCACAGCCTGAAACACTCCGTGCTTTATTGAATGCATGCAGGATTCAGAAACAATTGTTCAGAGCATCAGCAGAATGGTTGGATCTGGATTCCAACTCATGTGTTTCGTTATCAAATATTTACAAGTAACATACCCGATGGGTAATCGCGATGAAGCGGCCCAGGCTAGAGGATGATCTCGTCGCATGCGCTGGACGAGTTAGGGAGCTCATCATGAGCGAGTGCGCAAAAATGGAAGCAAAGCTGCAGTCAACGGAGGCAGGAGAGACGAAGCGGCAAAGGAGACTCGGATGTCGTCGATCCTTGTCAGGCGTTGGTGGAAGCCATAGTCGTCTCATACTACGACCTGGTGAAGGATGAAGATCCAGCCATTATGGATCTTCTGCGCAATCCGACGCTCACGGATATAGGATTTCTTGTGTCACCCATACAAAACGGTTTACATCCTTATTGACGATGGAAATGCGATGGATCCAAGAAAGAACGAAAAAAAAAAACCCACGATCCATCCTCACAAGCAAGCAAGAGTCCAAAGGAGAAAAGGGACGCTGCTTGGGAGCTGACAACTACGTTAGCCCAATCCTGCCTTGTTGTGCTCTGTGCATCAGTGAAGAGCAGGCTGGTAAAAGAGTTGGTGAGCGATAAGATGCTACAGTATATGCTATGTCTCGGCGGATTCACGGAATGTTTTGTATTGGACATTGAGCTTTGGCCATGAATCCAGGATTGCGAGCTTTCATCATATCTAAAACACAAATCTTTGACTGACACGGACAAGGATGTGACTGGCTCTGTGCCGAGGCTCGTTTGGCAGTATTTTTCGACAAGACTGCGCTGGAAGGAAGTCATCTGTTCCTTAGAGCTGGGTTAAGGAGGTACGTGAGCAGCAATATAGATGACTGGATGCCTTGGACAGCGGGTGTTTCTTCCAGGGGCCTCAACGAACGGCCGAGTCCTTGACTCCTCACCACTATCGCATATCTCGTCACCACAATGAAGCGCTCCAGTGTAGAGGAGGCCACGTCCGAGATTGAAAAGTGGGTGGCATATATACCCGCGGACGAGAACATTTGCAGGATTGGTTGGAACGCTGAGGCCGCAGCAGTAGCAGCGTTAAGGCTTGTGAGTTTGTCAATATCGATTCCAGAAAAGTGGGGAGCGGAGCCATGTATAACTGTCCTCGACCCAAGTTTCTCATGGGATTCCTGCCGCGCAATGCTAGACAAGCTCTGGGAGGACGAAGACTCATATTTGTTCGCCAAGCCAGTTCAGACCCCGCGACTACTCCGAGCACATCCAAAAGCCTATGGACCTTGGTACTGTGCAAAGAAAGCCAGTGGTTTGTATGGAGAGATTCCAGAGGTTATCCAAGATGTCGAACTCACATTCTGCAACGCGATGGCGTACAACGTTAGCGGCTCCGCTGCACATAACGCCGCCAGGCGCATGCTGGGAACCTGCAAAGAGCTCTGTGGTGTTTTGGAGATAGACAGTCAGAACGTAGTGCAAGTGATCTCTCTACAATTTAGGTTTAGGAGGGCTTAACATAAAAGTCATCTTTTCGGCTGCAAGGGTTCAGTGATCAATTTTATTTCATGTTTTTGCCCCCTCTTTAGCTTAGCTCTGCCTGCTACCTTTGCCTGAACGACCAAGTTGATCCAGATCGTAGAGCCAGGTAGCACTTGTTAAACCTGCTGTGGGAGTTCACGACACTCAACGGGTAGAATGCACAATTCAACACCCCCTTTCATTTAGGGTGTGACGTTCTCGTTTTTTTTATAGAAAGAACATCATAACAAATTTTTATTAAAATAAACATTTTTATTGAAATATTATCATGCAAATAAAATGATACACTTTCAAATTATCAATTATTTATTATCTTAGAGAAATTTTCCGATGCTATTAAAACCATGATTAATATGTAAAAAAATTTATTAAAAATAAAAGTATGTATAATTTATAAACACAATATTAATCTCATTTATATTCTAAGTAATTCTACAATTTCAATTCACCAGTCCATATCATTATTTTATTTTTGCAGAAAAGGATTTTCTCATTATTGATCATGAGAGGGGACAAATGCATAATCTAACACCTCCCTCTCTTACATGTCTACCCTCACTCCTCACTCCCTCTGTATATTCAGTATTTAAATTTTTTAAGAATTACTTTGTATTTATTAAAATTAATAAAAAGTAATTAGAAAGTGATAATTACCAATTAGATAGTTAGCAAGTATATGTTTTGCAAATGTTTTCAAAATTATGATTCTGTTTGAAATGAGGTAGGACAATTAAGTCTAATTGGTACAAAATTTTACTCATTCCCACTTCTGTCATGCTTGCGCAATGACTGTCAACTTTGCTGGTGGTTACCACTTTCTAAAGAACCCATACAAAAGAAAACAATTGAACCTTCAGAGTTGACCGTTTGACCCTCCGAACTGTAGCTCCGCGTGCTTGGAGCATGCTGGATAAGAGAAGACCTTTTCTCAACTAAAGCTACAATGCATTTAGCAACACATTCTTAGGAAAATGGAGGCAAACAAGGGGCAAGTTCTTCTCATACTTTTGTTCGCAATTCTTACCTTCTTAGGTTGTTTGTCACAAGCGAAAGCATCATGGCTTAACATTTTGTGTCCTTGTGGCTATGTGTTTTTAGCTGGGGCATTGGACGAGAGAACTTGGTGTATTGCCAAGCCTGACTCTCCGGAGGAGGCTCTTCAAAAGGCCTTGGATTACGCATGTGGTCAGCCCTTGGTCAATTGCCTCCAAATCCAGCCGGGCAATGGCTGCTACTCGCCAGTCAATCTCCACTCTCACTCATCCTTTGCGATGAACCTGTACTACCAGGGATATGGCAAGAACTCGTGGAACTGTAATTTCTCTGGGATCGGAATCCTCACCACCGCAGATCCAAGTAAGTGATTGAAAACGAAATTCTATTAAAACCGATTGGGAAATCTTTGTATTTCAGGTTTCGGGAATTGTACGTATCCGTCCCCTTGATTTAAAAGGGATAAAAGTTGTCCGGCGTTGATCCGGTCAACGAGCTAACTAAAACGATTTGACTTCCCCCCGCGAATGGTAGCATATTCTCCCTCCCCATGCTTTCCATGCTCGCAATTAAATATCTGTCCACTTTGCGGGCATATTCCCCCGCGGGGCCAAAGAAATATCACGGGAAAAGGTCGATCTCACATACGTGGACGCATCTGCGAGATAGACATGTGTTAAGAGAACGCATCCAAAACCCATGGAATAAGGATATTGTTTACAAACCCTTGCCAAAACTATCACCCTCTCAATTTGTACAGTGGCATAACAATGTGAAATTTCACCAAAGGTTTCAAGCCCAATATAGTCAGTCCAATAAAAAAAAATTCACTACAGTGGCCAATCTCCCCACCATTGCATTATTTTCGTCCATCACTCAGTGAGCAAGAGAGTGACAAATAAGGAGAGTAATATTCCCCTCCATCCTTGCGAGGCTATGGCCGAGAGAAGAGCTTCTAACAACCCGTGAATGCATGCTACACACAGTAACTTAAAGGTAAATGCCTAGCTCGTGGTAGAAACAAGGGGAAAAAAGATTTTTTTTTATTTTGCCTGTGGAGAAAGGGTTGCATTAGGTTATGCCAGTTTTCTCTGTCCAGTGGATTGATTCATGAGAGGCGGAGGAGCGCTCGGCGCCTTGGCGGCGTGTGCGAGGACGTAGAAATTCCGATTCCCCGGAGGATTGTCTCGAGGTAATGCGCGATGGCACTGGCGCTTGTCTTCTTCTTGGATGGATTGTTTCTCCCTTGGAATGGTTGTTGCTGGGATGCATTGGAATTGCATGGCTCGAATCTGACCCCGGATTGTTCTTGGTTTCTCGATCCAGGCCGAAATCTCGACACTCCGCAATGCTGGCCAGCAGTGGCATGGCGGCGACATCGGCGCCATGGGGCGGCTCTGTGCTGGATTGCTCCAGGAACAAGGTCGCTCCATCGAAATCCGCCACAGTCCGGTGTTCTTTCAATCCGGCCGGGGCAGCAATCTCGTCGTCGTCGAGCGGCAAATCTTTGCTCCACAGCACGTTCGTAGCAGAAAGGCTCGCTCCCATCGAGAAATCTGGAGTCCGGAGGAGGATTCGTCCGGTCGTGCGTGCCGAGGCGGCATCGGTGGGCGTTTCTTCGCCTCTCGGCGATGGAATTCCAGCCAAGAAGAAGTTCTTTGGGGTCGACACTGTGACGCTCAAGAAGGTGATACCTCTGGGTCTCATGTTCTTCTGTATTCTCTTCAACTACACGATCCTGCGAGACACCAAGGACGTTTTGGTGGTGACGGCCAAAGGAAGCAGTGCTGAGATTATTCCTTTCCTCAAGACTTGGGTGAATCTCCCCATGGCTATCGGCTTCATGGTCATCTACACCAAGCTTTCCAACGTACTGTCCAGGGAGGCTCTCTTCTACGCTTGCATTCTCCCCTTCATTGGGTTTTTCGGGAGCTTTGCGTTCTTGCTATATCCTTTGCGTGACATCCTCCACCCGACTGCTCTAGCGGACCATCTTCTCTCGGTTCTCGGCCCCCGGTTCCTGGGCCCGATTGCCATCTTTCGCAACTGGACGTTTGTGCTGTTCTACGTCATGGCCGAGTTATGGGGGAGTGTCGTCGTATCGGTTCTCTTCTGGGGATTTGCGAACCAGGTACTTACTTGCTTACGTTGTGTTGTTTGTGCTTAAACTTGTGTCTTCTCTTTCAGATCACCACTGTGGATGAAGCAAAGCAGTTCTATCCCTTGTTTGGCTTGGGAGCCAACGTAGCGCTTGTTTTCTCGGGACGGACTGTTAAGTACTTCTCCGAATTAAGAGGACGGCTGGGACCTGGCGTTGATGGCTGGGGAATGTCTCTGAAAGGAATGATGAGCATTGTTGTAATACTTGGTTTTGCCATCTGTGGCATATATTGGTGGGTTAATGCTTTTGTTGTCAACGATCCCAACCTTCCCAAGATTGAGAAGAAGAAAAAGGTCAGCCATCTTTTAAGTTTTTCTTAAAACCATTTACTAACTCTTTTGAGCATCTCCAGAAGAGCAAGCCTAAGATGAGCATGGGCGAGAGTGCGAAGTTTTTGTTGAACTCGAGATACATCCGGGACCTTGCAACCCTGGTGGTTGCTTATGGAATCAGTATTAACCTCGTCGAAGTTACATGGAAGTCGAAGCTCAAAGCTCAGGTAACGATAGTCTTCTTTCGGTGATGCTGGCTGCAACAACGCCTGTGTTTGATAACGCAGTTTCCAAGTCCCAACGACTACTCGTCGTTCATGGGAGACTTTTCGACGTGGACTGGAGTTGTCACATTCAGTATGATGTTGCTGAGCAGGGTAATTTTCCGCAAATATGGATGGGGAGTTGCAGCTGCCATTACACCGAGTGTTCTTCTTGTAACTGGAGTGGCATTCTTCTCGCTGGTGCTCTTCAGCGATCCACTAACTCCATTCCTCGGAGGTATTGGGTTGACTCCACTGATGGCAGCTGTTTACGTTGGAGCTTTGCAAAACATATTCAGTAAAAGTGCCAAGTACAGCTTGTTCGACCCTTGCAAGGAAATGGCTTACATTCCGTTGGACGAAGATACAAAGGTAAATCTATGGATGTATGCTGCTCTGTCGTTTATTTTTGTTTGTTGTACTTCAGGTGAAAGGAAAGGCCGCTATTGACGTTGTATGCAATCCATTGGGAAAATCAGGAGGTGCTCTCATTCAGCAGGTTCTGATTTTGTCGTTCGGGTCCCTTTCCAGTTCAACTCCGTACCTTGGCGCCATCCTCTTGGTTATTGTGTTAGCCTGGCTGGGTGCTGCTCGATCACTCGACAAGCAATTCACTCCAATGGTCCAAGAGGATTTGAAGGGCAAGCTACTGCAAGGAAAACTCTCGGCTATGACTGCGGCTTTATCTGAAACTTCCAAGGTTGGCACTCGCGAGGTAAGCCTTCTTCCGAGCTACATGCAACGTAACTTAAAACCAAGTCTTAAAACGAGCGGTAAAAGAGTTGCATGAGAGTTCACGGCTGCATTTTTCGGTTTTAGAGTGGACAGGATGAACAAGTTGCGTCATCGTCGTCCAAGAGTCTTAAGACAAGTTAGCAAGAGTTTTCCAGACGAGTCGGCAGTCAGCGAGGCATGCTAGTGGATTTGTTTTCCTCTTCTATTTTCTTTTTTTCTTTTTTTTCTGATATGACTTTTTTGCTCTTCAGGTGACGTACCGGTTTGTTAGTGGGCTCAACGACAAAGGTTTTATTGAAGGACGCTATGTTCCCGTGACGCCACCGACTAGCGAGACCAAGCCAGCACCTTCAGCTAAAGATGAACCAGTGGAAGCTACGATCGAAAACGGTTCGCCTTCGCCTGAATCGGGAGGGAGTGATGTAGATACAACTACTCGCGAGCCCGCGTCCATAAATTGAGAGAGGTATGCTACTCCATTTTGAATTTTTTTTCCTTCGCTCTAAGATAAAAATGTCTCAGGCGAGCAGAGACGGATGTGTATCATCATGCGGTTTAGGCAACGTAGAAGAAAGTTGAGGTGCAGTCGATGATGATGACGAGATGATGATGATGATCACAATAAGCCGAGAGAAAGACGGTTCTATCTATTGTTTTATTTGTTCTTTCCTATTAATTCGTATCGTTTTTTTGTTCAAGCAGACAAAAAAAAGATTCCTACTGTCAATGAGCTCCTGCGTTAAGACCAGTGTTTGCGAGCAACACATAGCCAGCTCCATCCAGTTGCTCCAAATCGAGAACTTCCTGGGCAGTAATCCTTTCTCGAGTGGTGGAGCTGTGGTGAGCTCCAAGCAGGCTCGTCCACTCGAAAGAATCGGGAGCAAAAGGCATGGATTGGACGAGACTGTGAGCGCCTTCCAAGTGTCCAGCTCGTCCAAGCATATCAACAACGCAGCAAAAGTGCCGCTTGGATGGTTCCAGCCCAAAATCCACGATCATCAAGCGGAAGCATCCCAGGCCGGAGCTCACCTCGCCCGAGTGGCTCGTAGCACAAATCATGGACAGCATGGAGATCTCGTTCGGGAAAATGTCGCTCATCACCATGGCGTGGAAGACGTTTTTAATCTCGCGCAAGAGCTTGTTCTGGGAATATCCGGCCAGCATGGCGTTCCACGAGACGAGATTCCGGTCGGGCATCACGGAGAATAATTTCCGGGCCGGCCGCATATGCCCGTGCTGGGTATATGCCTGCAGCATGGTGTTCCACGTCACCATGTCTCTCTGTGGCATCCAGGAGAACATTCTTTGTGTCTCCCACACAGACCGGCCCAAAAGGAAGGCATTTAGTGATACCAGGTTGTGCTCCGGCATGGCATCAAACATTTGCTTAGATTCATCGCTGTGCCCGAGTTGGGTATATGCTGCGAGCAGTGTGTTCCACGCGAATAGATTCGTGTAGTTCATTCCATCGAAAACGTGGCGACATTTTTCGATTTTTCCGACGCGTGCATAAGCCGCAAGGAAAACATTACACAAGACAATGTTGGTTTCTGGCATTGATTCGAAGATTCGTGCGACTCTTTCGTGCTGCCCAGCCAGGGCATATGCTAGCAAAATAGAGTTCCATGACACACAACTTTTTTCAGGCGCCGAATCAAACACAACTTGAGCCTCCTCTATGAAACCACGTTGGGCATATGCGGAAAGCAAAGTGTTCACGGATACCATGCTGTGATACTGCATTGAGTCGTAAAACTTCTTTGCCTTGTGAATATCCCCTGCTTGGGTATATGCCAAGAGCATGGTATTGAACGAGATCAGGTCAGCATCTTTTAGCTCATCAAAAACTTGCTTTGATTTGCTAAGATACCCATGCTGCGCATACATGGCTAGTACGATATTCCAAGAGAGAGCGTTATGTTCGGGCATTTTGTCGAAGAGATTCTTTGCCTGCTCTATATTCCCATGTAAAGCATATGCTGCGAGCATTGCATTTAAAGAGGAAAGATTTGTGACTGGCATGCTATTAAGCATTCTTTTAGACTCATTGACATTAGAGCAAGCACTAACTACAGCCGTCCAAGCGACAAGATCCCACTCGGGCATCGAGTGAAACAAACGGTGACACTCCTGCGATTGCCCTCTCTGGGCAAATGCCGCTAGCAACGACGTCCACGACAGAATATCTAGCGCCGGCATTCGTCGGAATATCCCCACTGCATCCTCCAGATTCCCGTCACGGCAATGTGCTGTGAGAATCACATTCCACACTACAAGATTGGTGTCCTCTAAAGAATCAAACAAGCGCTGGGCGTCGTCTAGATTCCCGTTTCTGGCAAAAGCAGAGAGCATTGTTGTAAATGCTACAAAATTCCATGCTGGCATCGCATCAAAGATTCCTTTCGATTCCCGCAAATGCCCATTCCGGGCATATGCTGTGAGCATCATCACCCACGAAAAGATGTTCTTGTGCCGGATGCCATCAAACGCGATCCTGGCATCGACGGAGCCGCCACAAGAGCCGTACATCTGCACGACCAGGTTCCAGATGTAGGGGCCGTCGGATTCATGACACGTGTCACGAAGCCACGCGTGCAGTTTCCTGGCCATTGTGATAGTTTCGCATGATCGAATCAACTGGGCGGCGGCCTCAGTGCTGTAATTCCACATTTGTTTGCAATGCTTGGAATCAAACGCAAACGCCACCATTTTTCTAATGGCAATGAAAAAGGCAAATTCGTACGCAAACAGAGCTGGCTGGATGCTAAAAGATTCTGGCCATATTCGAAGATCCTCTAGCGCAACAACTCACCTACCATTCCAGTGGTGCCGTACGGACGGACGTCTCTTTGTAAACTCTTTTATATTACATCACAAGGACAGGTTGGTGACGATGACCTGTGAATCAAAACCCAAGATAATCACGGTATAAACGGATCAAACGAGGGTCTCTGCCACTTACGTCATGAAAAACGTGCGCACAATTTAAAAATTCTCCTCTGACGCGCCGGTAAAACCAGCAAACTAAAGCTGACCGTACAGAGTCGGTCACGCAAACGGAACTCCGTCGGGAGGTCTCCGTCAACGAAACGGAGCCGTCGCCTTTGGCCCTGAAAGACTGCGCAAGAGAGAGCAGACGAAATGGGCCATGGCGTCCACGTTATACATGCCCTTGCTGTGACGACTGGGAATTCCAAGAACCCTATAAATATTTCCCATCGCTCCATCACTGGGGCGGAGCGGTAGATAGGGCTTGGGAGAACGATCGCTAGAAGAAGAGATAGCTAGGGAAGCGCGAGGCAGATTCACAGGCGCGAGCAAGCGATCAATCGACCGGTGAGTGACTGCGCACATTCTGGCACACATTTCGATTCGATCGATCTCAGCTTTGGCGCTGGATCCTGCATTGATTCTCTAGCTCGAGGCGGTCCTGAAAAGTTTGGGATTCTGTGCAGGCATGGCGATTATCTCCAAGGCCGTTCTCCCATCCGCCGTTCTCCCGCAATTGGAGAACAAGAAGACGCAGCTCCTGGTTGGATCGTCCTCTGGCATCAGCTATGGCGGCAGATCTAGGCGAGCTGGATTGAAAATCCAGGCTGTGCACGCCGTGGAGCCGATTACCGAGGCGCCGACGGTGGCAGCCCCGATCCCCAAGGGGTGGAGCAAGGATAGCTGGAAGTCCAAGAAGGCCTTGCAGCTGCCGACTTATCCCAGCCAGGAGGAGCTGGAGGTGGTGATCAAGACGCTCGAGAATTTCCCACCCCTGGTCTTTGCTGGAGAGGCGAGGTCCCTCGAGGAGAAGCTCGGTGAGGCGGCTCTTGGAAGAGCGTTCTTGCTCCAGGGCGGTGACTGCGCTGAGAGCTTCAAGGAATTCAATGCCAACAACATCAGGGATACTTTCCGGGTGATCCTCCAGATGGGAGCCGTTCTTATGTTTGGTGGACAAATGCCTGTTATCAAGGTACGTTGCTCCAGAGTTTCCTCTTCCTGGAAGATAGATCTCTGAAAGGACTTTCATTTCAGGTGGGAAGAATGGCCGGCCAGTTCGCAAAGCCGCGATCTAGCGACTTTGAAGAGAAAGATGGTATCCGGCTCCCATGCTACCGTGGAGACAACATCAACGGTGACGCGTTTGATACGAAGTCGAGGACCCCCAATCCGGAGAGGATGACTCGAGCCTACTGCCAAGCTGCTGCTACTCTCAACTTGCTGCGATCTTTTGCCACGGGAGGTTATGCCGCCATGCAAAGAGTCACTCAGTGGAACCTCGATTTCACCTCCGACAGTGAACAGGGTGGAAGGTACGGGAAAACATCCTTGCGTGCATTTTGGACTTTTTACCTGTGGTTGATTTGTCGAGTGCTCGTTTGCTTGCTTTCGTGGTCATTTCCAGTTCTCAGGCTTTTGTTTTTGTCTGGCTTGATTGTAAATTTATTGTGAGGGGTCGAAAAAGTGAAGATCCGTGTTGCAGGTGGCTGGAACGTCCAGTCGCGAAGCTTGGACTCACTCGGCAGTCTCTTGCCGTTTCGTAGACTTTAAAAGTCGTCCTGTTTGATTTTTTCTCGTCAATTCCAGCACAAGTTGAACGAGTGCTTTCTGCATGTAACAGATACAAGGAGCTTGCGAATCGTGTCGACGAGGCTTTGGGATTCATGTCAGCTTGCGGGCTTACGATCGATCACCCGATCATGACGTCGACTGAGTTTTGGACCTCTCACGAGTGCTTACTGCTACCATACGAGGAAGCCTTGACTCGCCAGGACTCGACGAGCGGCCTCTGGTACGACTGCTCGGCGCATATGTTGTGGATTGGAGAGCGCACGCGACAACTCGACGGAGCACACATTGAGTTCCTCCGAGGAGTAGCAAATCCCATTGGTGTCAAGGTACGCGTTATCTATCTCTTCCTTATATCCAATACCTGACTTCTTTGACTCGCAGGTAAGTGACAAGATGGACCCCAACGAGCTGGTCAAGCTCATCGACATCCTGAATCCTCAAAACAAGCCCGGCAGGCTGACTGTCGTTGTCCGCATGGGAGCCGAGAAGCTGAGGATGAAACTTCCGCACCTCATTCGCGCTGTTCGCACGGCCGGCCAGATCGTGACTTGGGTGAGCGATCCCATGCACGGGAACACCATCAAAACTCCGAGCGGATTGAAAACCCGTCCTTTCGACTCGATCCGGGTAAGTCTCTTGACATGGATCGCAGCTCCAAGCAATGTTTCCAGAGGACTAAAAACGTTTTGTTCTTGTCCATCCAGGCCGAGCTGAAAGCTTTCTTCGACGTTCACGACCAGGAAGGAAGCCATCCCGGCGGCGTGCACCTGGAGATGACCGGGCAGAACGTCACCGAGTGCATCGGTGGGAGCAAATCTGTGCTGCTGGAGAACCTGTCCGATCGCTACCACACTCACTGCGACCCCCGGCTCAACGCCTCGCAGTCTCTGGAGCTGGCCTTCATCATCGCCGAGAGACTACGAAAGAGAAGATTGGGCTTGTAAGTAAGCAGCAAGAACACCATAGCTACAAGCTATGGAGATTTGTGGATAGCTTTGCAAGTCACTAGAAGGAGGGAGAAGGAGACGCTACTTTAATTCTATCTTAGTAGGAGATAGTATGGATTTTTGGATTGACCACCACCCACCATAATATCTAAAGAAGATAAAACGCGTTTGATGCACAGAAGATCTTCTAGCTTGGCCTTGGACAAGATTGGATCGCCGCGAATCGACAACGAGGGCTTCGCGAATCTCATCCGCCGCTGCGCTGCCGCCGGGGATCTCGACGAGGGGCGCCGGATCCACGCACAGATCAAAGCTCACAGCTGTGGCTATGGCGGCGAGAGGTATCTTGGGAACCTCTTGGTGGAGATGTATGGCAAATGCGGCAGCGTGGATGACGCGCTCCTCGCGTTCCATGGCATCCAGCGCAAGAACCTCTTCTCCTGGAACATCATGCTGGGCGCGCTCGTCCACAACCGGCGCGGCGCGCAGGCGCTGGATCTATTCCAGGAGATGGATCGCCACTCGATCGAGGCGTCCAACGTGACGTTTGTGACGCTCGCGGGCGCGTGCTCCGAGCTGGGGGATCTCTCGCGCGCCAAGGCCCTCCACGCCCGGATCGCCGCCACCGAGTTTGCGGCCCAGACGATCGTGGGGAATGCGATCGTGGGCATGTATGGGCGGTGCCGGAGCGTGATCCACGCGCGGCAGGCATTCGATCGGATCGAAAACAAGAGCGTGATCTCGTGGAACTCGATCATCACTGCATATGCCCAGAATGGGCATTCCAAGGAGGCGCTTGGGATGTTTTGCGCGATGGATCCCGAGGGCGTCAAGCCCAACAGGGTGACTTTCCTCGCAGCGCTGGACGCTTGCTCGATCGAGACCGAGCAATCCAGCAACCTGGGGCGAGAGATCCACTTCAGGATCATCGAGTCGGGGTTAGAATCCGAGGAGACGATCGCCAACAGCCTTGTAAACATGTACGCGAAGTGCGGTAGATTCGATCAAGCCTTGCGGTTGTTCCAAAAGTTTCTTCCTGGGACTGTGGTGTCGTGGACCGCGATGATCACTGCAAATGCCCATTGGGGGCATGGACGATCCAGCATCCGGCTGTTTGGCGAGATGGATCTCGAGGGCATCGCGCCGGATGAGATCACTTGCATTAGTGTTCTTGACGCGTGTGCGAGAGAGAGAGACCTCGATTGGGGCCGGGAAGTGATCGAGCTCGTTTTTGAGCGAGGTTTCCAGCACCACGTTGTGGTGGCCACCGCGATCGTGAGGCTGTATAGCGAGAGTGGCGATCTGGATCGCGCGAGAGAGGTTTTCGATTCGATCGAGAGGAGCAAGAGGACGGATGTGTCGTGGTCGACAATGATCCAAGCGTATGCCCAGCACGGTTTTCCCAGAGAATCCATCGATCTGTTTGACGAGCTCTCCGTGGAGGAGAAAGAAGGCCATCGAATCAACGAGATGGCGATCGCGGCGGCACTGGAAGCATGCGCAATGGTGTCGGAGTGGAAGCGAGGAAGAGAGATCCATTCTCGAGCTAAGGCGATGGGCTTTGATCGATCGTCCAGCGTCGTAGGCTCCGCGCTCGTCAGCTTCTATGGCCGCTGTGGAAATCTCAAAGAGGCGAAGCAAGCTTTCTCCATGGCTGCGAGGAGAGACGTGATCTCCTGGACAGCGATGGTGTCGGCATTTGCTCACCATGGCTGGGGCGAGGAAGCGCTCGAGATCTTCCACGCCATGATCCTCGACGGTGTTCTTCCCAATTCGGTCACGCTCCTCAGCGTTCTCGCGGCTTGCAGCCACTCCGGCCTGCTCAAGACAGCCCGCGAGAAGTTCGTGTCAATGGGCAACGATTTTGGGATCCATCCACTGAGCGATCACTACGATTGTCTCGTCGATAGCCTCGGGCGAGCCGGGAGGATAGGATCCGTGGAGGAGATGCTGGAGTTCATGCCCTTCCATCCGGGGGCTGTGGTTTGGATGAGCTATCTCTCGGCCTCCAAAGTTTTGGGGGATCTCGTGAGAGGGGAACGAGCGGCAAAGATGCTGCTTGATCTCGATCCGGGGAACTGCGCAGCGTATTTAGTGGTTTCCAACATGTATGTCTCTACTGAGAACGAGGAATGACCTTTGCTTGTACAAACATCGAATCCAGATGAGACCTACCAGATGGACCGTTCGCCCTTCCAGATTCCACGGATCAAGTCTAAAGCAAGCTTTTGGAGTGTTGACTTCTCAAAAGCTCGTAACTCATGGCTTCTGATAATATCAATTGATTATACTACTTAAAGACAGTGTAATTAATTCCAGTTTTTGTGCATTTGGATAAAAAACAATTCGGTCAAATGGTACTAAGATGTATGTTAACACTCTGAAATTTTACTAGTAATGTATTGCACTTTTGCTTATCTTTCATTGTATCAAGCATTTTATCTTATGCTTTTCTTTTTCCATTCTATTCAAATAATATTAATCTCAAAAATCATAAATATAAACATATATTGTGAGGTCCAAATGTATAGGTATAATGTTGTATACTAATATTAACGTAGTGGGATTTTAGCAACTGTCAGATTGGTTTCAATCTTGACCCTTTACTCTTGTATATAAGCAAGGGTTTTTAAGCTAATTGATATACATATTTTCTTGGTGGAATTTTAACTATCCGTTAGGAGTGTTTGGATTTGGGAGTTTAATTTAAATCTAACTTTTGCATTGTCTAAATCTAATTTTTTCAATTTCCTTTCTTTTTTTTTTTCCTTTCAAGATTTTGGTTTAAATCTAGCTTTTGCAATGTTTAAATTTCCCTTTCCTTCTAGCTTTTTTCATTTCTTTTCTTTTGCTCTTTCTTTTTTATTCATTTTCATAACAAAGCAATAGTCTCTTCTTCTTTTGACTCTAGAGCAATAGTTGGTGCAATTATTCAATGTTATGCAATTGTAATTGAATAACCAAACTCAATTAATGGTGATATTCACAATATGTGGTATAGCTCTTTCTGCTCTTAGTGCATTCCACTGGAGTTCTTTCGTAGAAATCTTGAGGATGATGTGTACCATTAGTTTAATCACTTCATGGTGATTACCACATATCATTCTTGGGATGACGCTTGACATTTGCTTAAGTTTCCCACATGTCTCCAAGAGACGACACTGTAATGGTATAATGGTTTGAGGGTAGACACTCATGGCAATTGGAGTATTCTCCCAGACATCTTCAAATGTGCAGTTAGACATACCAACAATTATAATGATGCTTTCCAATATATGCATCATCTTCATCAAAGGGCATTTGAGTTGGTGATGCAATTTAGTGTTCGTTTCTAAAGCCTTTTGCTTCATGCAGAGCTAAATATGTCAGAGCGGATCAAATTAGGAATGTTGTAACCAACATTTCGTCAAGATCTTATAGAACTTGTGTATGCACTTACTCCCACTACTCTTAACAATACCCTTCACTTGGCACAACATTATAAGACATCATCTCTTCTATTTCTCATCACACGTTCTTCAACTCCACTTCTTGTGGGAGATGGTCCTATTCCAATGGAGGTTGATGCTATTATTCCTCGAGTTCAAGGACAAAGGCGAGGATGTGGTTATGGCCATGATGTTCACTACTGGGCGTGTGATGAAATTGATCACATTTATCGGTGTTGTCGGTGTTTTTTGGATTGGCGGCCTCCATTTCCTGGGTGGAGACTTTTGTGTCAACAACGTCCTATTGGTGTTGCTACAATGGAAGGTCTGGATATTGAGATGCATCTGGGAAACAAGGAGTCATATGAGTAACAAAAGGACCTTGTGCGAATCAGTTAATGACCCCTCTATCTTTCTTTCAGGAGTATCATGAAAGGGTTTACTCGACATCAATTCATCCAATGTTTACTTTCTAAGCTCATTTTTATAACAAGAGGTCTCCTATTATTCTCTATGTATTGGTTGATATAGGTTCAAGTTTATTTTCTATTGCTTGACTTATTGCTACACGTTGTCGTCTATATTTGCATTATATGGTAGAGTCAGTTTTCAATCTTTATAGCAACAGCTATACACATGCATGTGCACGTGATGAGGCGGACCTAGTTGTGCGTGTGGGTGATCTTGAGTTTGGATTATAGTCATTGTGGGTGGTGTTGAGTCAAGCTTTTGACCTCATCTTTAGTATAGATTGTTGCAACACAATCATGCCAAATATGACTTTCAGGCTTCTCCCTCTTGTTTCATACTTCTTTATATTTTATTCATTCCTTTTACTTTTGTACCTTTTCATCCCTTTGCTTTTACCTCTGCTTCCATTATTTTTATCTCCCCATTACTTCTTCCTATGTTTCTGTCTTGTTCCGCTCTTCCCTTTTCCAATCCCTTTGACGGTCTTTGTGTTGTAGCGGTTGATTAGCTCATGAAGGATTATATCGATCTCTTTGAATTTGACCTATCATCTAGAACCAAGATTGCCATACGTCATCCGATTACAACTAGGGATGCTTGTCCAACCAAAGTTCCTACTCATCATTAGTCACCCAAAGAGATCAAAATTTTACTTGTGAATATTAAGAAGATGGTGGAAAGGGTGTTATTCGAAAGTCATGGAGTCCTTAGGTATGTGAACATCATTTTGTGATGAAGCCTGATAGGAGTATTCTTTTCTACATTGATTATCGTTTGTTAAACAAAGTAACAATCCTGGATATGTACCCTCTTCCTCACACTACTGATCTCTTGGATCGTTTGGGGAGAAGTTGTTGGTTCACCAAACTAAATTTTGCTTCTGGGTACTGGCAAATACCAATGACCAAAAAAGATATTCCTAAGACTACTTTTCGTACATCATTTGGTTTGTACGAGGTTTTGGTGATGCCGTTTGGTTTAAACAATGCTCTAGTGACTTTCTAATAGATGATGGACAAAGTTTTTTGCAATATGCTAGAGATGATTGTTGACTTCATTGATGATGTCTTAATCCACTTGAAGGGGACCTAGGAGGAACACGTCTGTGATGTTTGTAAAGTGTTGAATCAAATATGGAAAGTTGGTTTAAGGTTGAAGTGGTTGAAGTGCGTGTTTAGGTCCAAGGATATAATTTATCTTGGGTACCATATTTCTCATGAGGGTTTGCAAATTGATCCTGACAAACTTGTGGCTGTTCTAAAGTTCCTTATTCCGAAGTGTGTAAATGATATTATAAGTGACTAAATTTTCCATTCTACATTAATCACTTAACCACATCTCTAACCACTTGGAGGAGTTTCACTCACAACCTCCATAAATCTTATTTAGGATTTGGGGACTTGCTAGCCCCAAGAATGATATCCATACCACTCAACCATTACACTTGGTCCAAATACTCCACATGTCTAATCCCATGACTGACACCTATGACCAACATATCAACCCGTTAAGCTAAGGCTATGCCCATTCACTTTTGTCACATCGGTGATCCAACACCATCTGCATCACAGTCCTGTCTCTCAAAGACTAGGGCATTTATCCACGAGTGATCACCAAATCCACTCTTTAACTTCCTTAGGATGCCCACAGACATAGGGAATAGCCATCCCTAATATCCTTTTTTCAGTCCCCACCAAGTCCCTTTGTGTCCATAGCCGTGTTCATCAACATTGCCACTGAGTCAAGGCCCACAAACCCGACCACTAAGTCCCACTATCCTTTGGGACTTCCTCATCATCTAAGCGTATCTTTGGTCGCTACACTAGAGGACTGCTTCTCTTTTTTTTCCACAGTCTGGGACTTTGGGACAGCATTTTGAAACACCATGGCCTTATGCGAACCTCATAAATACTCTCTTTACCTTCTGCATTTAAGTGCCCTAGCCATATGGCTAGAGCAAGGTTTCAATGAGCCATGCCAGGTATCCAAGTAGGTAGTGCCACCCACATTTGGGAGCATTGACTAATCGATCTCCTGAGGGAGCTAGAGCTGGCTCTTGGACACTTCACCAAGTTACCCCACTTGTCTATCTATATTCACTCTAGCTTTGGACTCTTTAATGGTTTTATCATCACCCACCACATGGATATAACATTCTTTAGTCACACTAGCCTTTCTTGGCCAAACTGGCTTCACTAGAGTCCTCCCCCTAGTATACTTTTGGAGCTCACTAAACCGCTCAGGGTCTAGGAGACGAACACTTTGGGCTTTCACCCCTCGGCCTCGGACTTGGACTTGGACTCGGACTTAGGCTTGGGGTAGGGCTCGGACTCAGACTCGGACTCGGGCTCAGACTCGGACTCGGACTCGGACTCGAGCTCGGACTCGGGCTCAGGCTCGAGCTCGAGCTCAGACTTGGTCCCAGTCTCGGTCTCGGTCTCGGTCTCGGTCTTGATCTTGGTCTCGGTCTTGGTCTCGGTCTCAATCTTGACCTCGAACTCCATCTCGGGTCCTCCTTGGACTCCATCTCGGACTCCATCTCAAGTCCATCTCGGACTCCATCTCAAGTCCATCTCGGACTCCATCTCAGATCCATCTTAGACTCTATCTGGAGTCCATCTCGGACTCTATCTTGGACTCTATCTCGGATTCCATCTTGGTCCATCTTGGACTCCATTTTGGGTCCATCTCAGAATCCGTTTTGGACTCCATCTTGGACTCTATCTTAGGCTTCATCTCGGACTTCATCTCAGGTCCATCTCGGACTCCTTCTCGGTCCATCTTAGGCTCTATCTTAGACTCCTTGAGTTTATTTCAGACTTCTTCTCAGACTCCATCTTGACACTTCCACGTGTCATGTGTTAGTCCTCTTGTGTCCTTTTTATAGAGACTCACTTATCACTTGTTTCATACTTGTTTTGTGAGCATTTCGTTGGGAGTTCTACTCCCACTCTCAACTATCTAAGTTGGAGATTTTAGTCCAAATGTGTTACACTCATTTGGCTTTTGCTTCAGCCACTACCACATGGCACCTTTTTGGCTCCACTTTGGGGCCTAAGGATTTATGTCTCACAAATATGTAGCACTTTTTGGGCAAGGTGCAATATCTCAGTTGTTTTGTGACTTGAAGACAACCTTCTTTATTTTATGGGGATGGATATTGATGGTCATTTATAGCTAGTGGTGCCTCCAATGTTTATTCCACAATTTCTTCATACCTACCATGATTCTTTTGTTTTAGGTGGGTATATGGGATATCATCGTATGACTGAGAAGCTACACAAATATTTCTATTGGCCGAAGATGTGACGTAATGTTATCTAATATGTGTGTAACTGCATTTGGTGCCAAGCTCATAATATTCCCTCTCATGCTGCGGAAGAATGGTTCGAGTCAATTGCAATTTCCCGTTGTTTGAGTTGGTGGCGTTTAATCTCCACAATCGACTATTGACAATGAGTATGTTATTAATGACTTATTGGGTCGAAGTTCATACTCTTGCTAATGCCTTTGCAATTATTGTTGGATACTTCCTCCTCAATCAAGTGGTGTTCCTATATTTTTGTCTAAAGCGGATTATATCGGATAATGGTCCCGCATTTATAGCTGAGGCATTTCATATTTTGACATTTCAGTTGGGGATACACCACACTTTCATGAGTTTTTATCATCCACAGTTAAATGGTTTGGTGGAACGGTTCATTTGGACATTCAAAGGGATGATCACGAAGTACGTGAATTTTTAGCATTCAGATTGGGATGGTTATTTGCCATCTCTGCAGTTTGCATATGTCACAAAGGTGCAAAGTTCTATTGGTGTTTCACCATATAAATTGCTATATGGCCATGATCCAAGATTACTAATGGAGTTGGGTTTATTTTTGCAATTGCCATGAGCTACCAGTACTAAGTCGTGGGATCAGTATTTGATGAGTATTCTTTCACTTATCCGAGCAGAGTCTACTAAACACTTAGGCCATATACAAGTGGCATAGCAACAACATTACAAGTCCCATCATCGTCCACCTACGGAGTATAAAGTGGATGATTTGGTACTAGTCCATTTTCCCTATCTTATAGTACGTAGTTTATCTAAGGGGCTTTTTGCTTAGTGGAAAGTACTGTATTAGGTGTTGCGGCAAGTCCAAAAATTGTGCATGTGGAACAGTTGAAATGCTTTGTACAAAGGGATTAGGAACAATTGATACCACTTACAAATCCACTCATGCTTCGTTCTAATATTCCTTCAAATTCTGGCCCATTTATGAGGGAACTTTGATAGTTTTCCATTATTCCAAGGAGAAAGTATAATGTGAGGTCCAATTGTATAACTGCAATACTGTATATTAATATTAGTGTAGTAGGATTTTGGTAGCTATCAAATTGGTTTTAATCTGGATTGCTTGTTCTAGTATATAAGCTAAGTTTCTGGGCTAATTGATATGCACATTTTTTGTATTCTTTTTCTATATTCCATACACTCACTATATCTAATTTAAATATTAGATTTATTTGCATTTAGTTATTGATTACTTGATATTAGTATTAAATTAAAAAATTTAATATTTTTTATTTTTAGAAAATCTAGGAAATTCCTATTTTATATTAATAAATTTTACTTAGCTTCTATTTTCATGTTCATTGAATATAAATCCTATGTATTAGGCTTTTATAGCTTTATTGTTATATTCATATATTCAAAATAATTAAATTAAATAAGTGAAATAAAGAGGTGAAAAACTCAATAAATTACTTAATAGCTTTATAAATTACATTGAAAATATATTTGGGATTTGATATAATCTAATAATTTATGATTCTACTTTATACATAAAGAATTTCAAACTATTTTTGAATAGCCAATCCACATAATGTTTAATATACACAACTTTTGAGCTTTAAATTTCCATTTAAAAATAGTAATATGAAATTTGTCATAATTAAATTTTAGAAGTAAAATCTGATCAAACTGTTAGAAAAAAAAATAATAATTACAACATTATTTTTAGTCATTTCACACATTAGATAAATAATATTAATAGCTACAGCATCCACAATGTTATGAATTTAATAAATCAATTATTAAGTATCATTTTGAGTGATGTTAGTCAAGTGGGACACTACAAGTGTTCAACTTGATTAACATCACTTTGTTGAAGAAATTTTGTTTATATTATTAAGTTTTATTAAAATTATAATGTGTTTGTGAACATTATTTGTGCGGACATGGCATGCCACGTAACTGGTTGCGTGGTCCATTCGGCTAGTGCCACGTCACGATGTATGGCCTCGGTTTGGAAATTTCTCCCGCTTCCAGCGCCTACGCATTGGCGCCGCCGCCGGCCAATCGGATCGTCGCCGCTTGCGCTCCCGGATCGCGCGCCGCCTGCTGGCGCTCCAGCCTTTGTTCGATCTCTAGGTATTCTTCTTGCTAGAGATCTAGGGTTGTAAAGGATGTTCTTATCGCGATCTTGCCAAGGTTTTTTAATGCTGCACGCATTCATTGTTTTCTCCACCTTGGATTCATTCCATTCTTGGAATTTTCGCTTTAATCAATGATCGCTGTCGTGTTATTTCTTCCACAGCTCTCACACCTCTCGATCGCGCTCGAAAATGAAGAGCTGCGCGATCGGAAGCGCAAGCACCAGCAAAGAAACGAATCAAGCTCGGGAGTGTCCAGACCATCTCCTGGTGCTTGTACACGGAATTCTTTCGAGGTACTAGCCCCTTTCTTATGAATTCTACTGTGCTTGTTCTTATCACTCTTCTTTTTCTGTTCACCGCAGCCCAAGCGATTGGAAGTACTTCAAGCAAGAGTTGAAAGCTCGGCTTGGAAGCAAGTTCTATATTCATGGTAAAGTTTTAGTTTTCTTTTGTCCCTGAAGACTATCGTTTTCCAGCGAGCTCGGTAAATTCATACCTGCAAACTCTGACTGGAATCGATATGGCCGGGAAGCGATTGGCCGATGAGGTCTGATTGTTTATCACTCACACCATCTCCTGGATTTTTAACTTCACATCGACTACGCAGGTCTCGGAAGTTGTCCAAAAACATCCTCAACTCCAAAGAATATCGTTTGTAGCGCATTCACTTGGGGGACTTTTCGCTCGCTATGCAATTGGGATTCTTTACTTGCCGTTGCAGCCTTCGAAGAAGTTGATGAACCCGTCAATAACAGGACTTGATCCGGTTAGTTTCATCACGCTCGCCACACCACATTTGGGTGTACGAGGACGGCAACAGGTTCGTCGCCTTGAGCTTCGTTCTTTACTTTGTTTCTCAAACCTTGTCATTTTGCAGCTGCCATTTCTTATGGGTGTTCCTGTATTGGAGAAGATTGCCGCTCCAATCGCTCCTTTTATTGTAGGTAGGACAGGACGTCAGCTTTTCTTAACTGATGGCAAGGCCAGTGATCCGCCTTTGCTCCTGCGAATGGCAACGGACTGTGAACAAGGACAATTTATGTGAGATATTGTCTACGTGCTGGAGCACGTCTGTCTGTCCTAACTTTTCCTCTTTTGCTTCTTTCAGATCTGCATTGAGAGCCTTCAAGCTACGAGCTGTTTATGCCAATGTCAGCTACGACCGTATCCTTTCGTCGTTCATGACGGTGATATGACAATCAAAGCCTTGACAATGACGCTATAGACATGGTTGGCTGGCGTACCTCCTCCATTCGAAGGGAGTCGGAGCTCTCGAAGGTGATGCTAATCGGGTCAGTGGTTTTGAGCTTAAGAACTAATCTATAGACAAGCGTCAGGGCTCAAGGGCGCATCTACGACTTTAACTTGATGTTCTTCTTTTTTATCAGCCTCCTCGCAAATCGCTCGAAGGATACAAACACGTGGTGAACGTCAGGTATTGTCCAGCAATTCAGAGTGACGGGCCTTCTTTCGAGGACAACACCGCCGGAGCGAAAGAAGCGGCACAGAAACAGCCGAGCAGCATAGAAGCTAAGGAATACCACGACATACTTGAAGGTGACCCCGACTTCTCTGTCTTTTTTATCTACTGACTCTGTTTTGGTAATCGGAAAGAACAGAGGAGATGGTAAGAGGCTTGCAACAAGTCAGCTGGCAGAAGGTTGACGTGAGCTTCCATTCTGCGATATGGCCGTTTTTCGCGCACAACAACATCCATGTAAGCAGCCAAGTCTGTGCGTAGTTTATGCCTTATGATGTGATCTTGGACAGGTTAAGCAGGAATGGTTGCATTACGAGGGAGCGGGCGTTGTTTCTCATGTGGCAGACACGCTAAAACAGCAAGAACATGGTGCGTTCCTGGAGGCGAATCTCTGAATGAATTTGTGCGTTTCGAAAGCGGCTACGTGTGAATGCGAGTGGCGATTGAGGTGACGAGGCTTTGAATCTAACTTGTGGTTCTAACTTGTGGCTTGTGTAAGAGTGCAACAGGTCATGGTTACCTGAGCTACAAACATACAGGCAAGAAAAAGGCTATTCCATTTCAGGCGGGTGTGAAATTTTCATGGAATAGCAAAATGCTGGAAGGTGGAAGCGCCCACCAATGTTCTTGCAATTGTGATATCTGATACATCTGATACCAAATCTTTCGTTTTCATGTGATCAAAGGTCGTTTAAACAAAGAAGAGGAACATGTGAGAACCAGGAGGATTGAATCTTTGATACGTTTTCCAAAAACTACAAACCTGCAGTGATCTGTTGCCTATAGTTTGTCTACTCCTGCAGGGCTTCTGAACTTCACTATCTTATCCTAAGATTCCATGCTGTTTGTCACCTTTGGATTGCTGGAGAAAACTTGTAAAGAGGCTTGCTGTTGAATGCCACATGCATGGAAATTCAAGATCTAGAGACAGAATATTTAGGCCCATACATGCGTGACACAGAAAGTGTCGCTTTTTTATTAGAATGGAGGAGGGCGTTCAATGCAATTTGCGGTGGTTGACTGTGTCTAGCTTTTCTCCGAGGCCTCTTTTCTTTGGCAACAACTCGCTTTGGCCTTGTGCTCTCCATTTGCTTTCATCAGGTTTCTTGCAAACATGTTCGGAGGAGACAGCAAAAAGACTGTAGATTTCTCAGGCCACCTTTTCTGTCTTCAAATGTCTCTCTAGTCTGTTTTGAAGGTGTTCCTTGAGTTCAAAGTGCCTGAAAACCAGCGGTGGTTGCATGGTAAGTTTGTGAAAAGACAAAAGCTGCTGCTTCTTTTTTTCAGCGTTTGGTGCACAAAGCTGTGAGGCATTTTGCGCGTATAGCCCGTGTCTTTGCCGACGCTTGCGGTTTACTTCTTCTTGATTCTTTCGAACTCTACGTAGCTCTACGTATGTAAACGACGAAAGCGAATCGTTTTTCTCATCTTATGCATTACAGCCGTGAAGTTGAAGCTGTCATTCGAAATTCCGAGAAATCGTGGCCACAATGGCGTCGGTGAGCTTTGCTTCCGTCTCCAGCGCGTCTTTGACAAGTCTCATGTCTCATGTAAGATTGGTGATAACACCGAAAAACTCAAGACTTTTCCAAAGGTAGAGTCTCTAGGCTCTAAGAAAAACAATCCAAAAGGAGCGCCAGTATTTTGCTGCTGCGGTGGAGTGGAGGGCATTAAAGTGAAGATTGTTGTTTCTTTCTTCCTTTAGTCTTTTTTTTTCTCCCTTTTTACTTGGCAGTCAAAGAAAACTGGCCTAAGAAACGGATCTGATGCGTGCGTTCCATGTGAAGACTTTGGATCGACGCGTCACCGCTGCAAAAATTTCCCACTTCCAAAACGCTGCAAAGAATTGGATCCAGAAGCTCAGTTATGAATCTTCCAAAGAAAAAGAATCATCGTTTCTCACTCCAAACGTGATCCAAACGTACCAATACCGTACAGTGCAAAGCTGTCGGTGCCGCGGTAACTTTCCACATTTTCTTTTCCACTTTTCACCGCGGATGAAAACGCCTGCTTAAATCAACGGGTAGAGACGTTCGAGACGCAACAACGTGGCAACGTCGCGCGCCACAGGGCCAGTGAGAAAAGCGCACCTGGCATGCACTGCCAACAAAGACTAGTGCCACGTTGGACGCTGGTTTTTTAGGGTGTTTAAGAAGCGAGAGGTGAGAGAGAGGAGACACGGCAAGAAGAAGAGAAAAAATTTCTCTTTCTTCCTTTCGTTAAGATCCTGGCAAGGAATCTGTAAGAAGAGGAAGCTCAGCTCGCAATCAATCGATTCCACCGACTGCATTTGTTTGGAATCTCGTGTTAGAATGCTGGCGCTCAACCGCGCATTCATGGATTTGGCAGCGAAGAGCTCCTCCGCGAGGAGAAAGCTCTTCTGTTTTTAGGGATCGATCGGTGGAAGGGCGAGGCCGCGATGGATCCGGGTAGACCAAGGAGAAGAGGAAGCTACATTGTTGTGTGGGTGTAGGATTGGAAGGATCGCGCGCATTGGAAGCACATTGAAAGGAGAGGAAGAATCCAGGCGGAAGGATGAGATCTATAACGCGCTCCTTCTCTTCTCCGCCGATTCTCTCGCCCACCAAGATCCGCCGCCTCCAGCGAACGTTCCACAACGTCAAGCTCATGGTCATGTGTGGCATGATCACGATCCTGGTGCTGCGAGGGACGATCGGCGCGGGCAAATTCGGGACGCCCGCCCAGGATTTGCGAGAGATCCGCGAGCATCTGCCGCGGCGCCACAAGGAGGCCGCGAGCAGAGTCCTGGCAGAGGCGCACGAATCGCGAAAGAAAGCCCCAGGCGATCGCGAGGAGAGGGAGGAGGAGGAGAGAAGCGCAGGATCATCGCCCTACTCTCTGGGTCCCAAGATCTCCGACTGGAACGAGCAGCGATCCCAGTGGCTCCTCGAGAACAGGGCTGGCGGCGGCGCCGCCACTAGCAAGATCCTCCTCGTCACTGGCTCCCAGCCCAATCCCTGCGACAACCCAGTGGGCGATCACTACCTCCTCAAATCTCTCAAGAACAAGATCGACTACTGCCGGATCCACGGCATCGAGATCTTCTACAACATGGCGCACCTCGATTCCGAGATGGCGGGCTACTGGGCCAAGCTCCCACTTCTCCGGAAGCTCCTCCTCTCCCACCCGGACGTGGAGTGGCTATGGTGGATGGACAGCGACGCCATGTTCACGGACATGAGCTTCGCGATCCCGCTGGACAAGTACGCGAATCACAACATGGTCCTCCACGGATGGGACGAGCTCGTCTACGCGAAGAAGAACTGGATCGGGCTCAACACCGGGAGCTTCCTCCTCCGCAATTGCCAGTGGTCGCTGGATCTTCTCGATGCGTGGGCGCCGATGGGACCAAAGGGAAAGATCCGCGAGGACGCCGGCAAGATCCTCACGCGCGAGCTCGTGGGACGCCCGGAATTCGAAGCTGACGATCAGTCCGCGCTCGTCTACCTCCTGGCGACGCAGCGATCCCAGTGGGGCGATGGCGTGTTCTTGGAGAGCTCGTACTACCTCCATGGCTACTGGGCGATCCTGGTGGACAAGTACGAGGAGATGATCGCGAAGAATCATCCGGGGCTTGGGGACGATCGCTGGCCGCTGGTGACCCACTTCGTGGGGTGCAAGCCGTGCGGGAGCTATGGCGATTACCCGGTGGAGCAGTGCTTGCGGGAGATGGAGAGGGCGTTTAACTTCGGGGATAATCAGATCTTGGGTGGCTATGGATTCCAGCACCGGCGGCTGGAGAGCGCGAGGGTGAAGAGGACGAGGAATGACACCGCCAGGCCCCTGGATGATCTACCATCGATATCGCGAGTTTCTTCCTCCTAGCTATGAGGTTTGTTTTTTTTTTCGAGTTCTTCCCAAAAGGTTGGAGCAACCCATTTGTCTTGTCGTGATGGAAGATTGATAGATTGTTTTGATGCTCGCTCGATCTATCGTATCAGATGATCATTGCCTTTACATAGTTTTTCTTATCTAGACATTGTAAGATAAAGGCTTAGTTTTTGATGAAAAGTTTTTAAAGCGCTGATTTTAGGGTTCTTGAGCTATGGAGCGATGACGCTAGTGGCGATCCTGGACTTCTTCCGGGTATGGCGCATTGCGCGATTTTCTCTTTCGCGAGCTTGGAAATGTCAATGCAGGGGCGTTTGTGGGAGATTTTGGACACGCAATGGCTCCTGGCACTGAGGAATTTGTCAATGGAGGATCTTCTTCTCCTTCCATCGCATATGAGAGTCCCTTCGATCCTTTGTTTCTCGTGCATTGACGGCTGGGATGGAAGGCCTTAGGATTGCTGGCCCAAGACGCTCCAGGATTTGCTCGCTCTCTTTTTCTCGAGAGCTGAAGGAGAGCTCAAAGGTAATTCTTTTCGCAAAACCTTGTCATTGACAATGTTTCTTAGCTTCTCTCAGGTGGATCGCTTCCAAGTGTTATAACGCAGGCCGTGAACGTCAGGAAACCATGAGGTATGCATCTCCTTCGATCCATCGATCGTTTTAGAGGAGACTCCCGTTTAGATTCTTTCCAGATTGAAGGACTTTCTTCGTTGGTAGTAAACACGTCAAACGATACTAGCCATTCTTGTCAACCGTTTCAAAGCATCGTGCCACACAAAACCGCAACCTTTCTCGGCGACGAGGACGTGTAGCTGGACGCATTCTTGTCGTCCATTAGCATTCGCGAGCAACGTAGCCATGGACAGCACTCGGGCTGCATGCCTGTGGAGATCTCTCGGCGAACATGTTGAGGTGAGGAGCGTAGGTTCTTGAAACACTGGGGCAGGACCTCTGTAAATCGCCAGGACGTCACGGCGGTGATCTCTGTTTGGTGTTGCTAGAATTTGTTATCCGAGAACGACGACGGTGCGAGCAAGTGTGGCTTCCCTTTGAGCAGAGGCATGAAGAGATTGAACCTGCGTCTTGGTGGAGCTGGACGTGATCTTGTGATACAATCTAAATGCCGTTATTTTGTTCCTTCGTTGGAAGTGGAATTTTTTAAAAATGCTTGGCCTTTTTTTATTCTTTTTCAGCTCCGAAGTCAAGAAGAAAACCTATTGCTCTTCCTATCTATATGATTGTGTGACTTCTCATGGAATCGAGGTGTATCTGGGGAAGGTTAAGGAGCTTCTACTTCCTGAAGTTTTATATTAGCAAAAATACCGCTCGGGATTTAGTGTTCCAAACCCAGTTTGAATATCTATGTTTTATCGAGAGAATCTTTAAATCAATATAAACATTTTGGTTCAAAGAACCTTTTATTCATCTTTTGATTTGTTTTTGTGGAATCGTTAAAAATACTATAGAAACTTTCAGAAGAACCTACGCAGCACACTGCTATTTATTAATCACAAGAAAGAAGTCGAAATCAAGCATACTGAATGGACGCCCCATTGAATGTGAAGCTACCGTCTCCCCTCGGCACCAGCGTCACAACGAGCTTGTCCTCTGACTTTAGGCCCAGGATCTCGACATTAGCCTTGATAGAGAAGCTGGTGTTCACGGTCTCGGTGTGCCACTTACCGCTCTCGAGCATGAAGTGGGGGACGTTGGAATAAGTGCCCACGTACTCGGCACAACTGACGGGCGTGTTCTTGTTGGCCTCGGGCAGATTGATGAACGCGTTGAAGCTGATGGCGGATCGCATGTCAATCTCCATGCCCTCCAGCACCAGGGTCTCGTCAGAACCGCTGCCTTTGGGCTGATCCACCGTGATCGTCACCGGCTCCGCTACAACTTCCAAGGCCTCGGGGTTCTCAGCTGATGCTTTCACCAGCCGATACTCATACGACGATCCACTCCAGGGCGTCTCCTTCAGTGGCTTGGGCTCGTAGGCGGTCCAGGTCTCGTCGTCAGGCATCGCCTGGTACTTGTACTTGAGCATCTTCTCGTTGTTGAGTGAATCTTTCACCTTGACGCGAACGAGATCTTGCTTCTCGTCAAAGAAGAGGAACTCGGTGTTGAGGTAGTCCGGGTCTGTGAAGTCCATGTTTCCCAGAGACCTCCACACGTCCCACATCCGATCGACGTTACCGTGGTGGCAGTAGAAGAGAGGGTCTTTACCGGCCGAGTAGAAGTTGCCCATGTCCTCGTTATTCGGCTGGTTGGGGCTGCCGCAAAATATGTGCATAGCATTATGTGGCGCCCTCTCCACGCCCCCTGGGCCATTTATGCTGCTGCTGCCTTTCCTGCAAAGTATATATGGCTGCTAAAATGGAGCGCATGCATGGGAATGCACGTACCTGAGGGGGTAGCCAAAGAACGCGTCCGGCTGCTTCACCTTTGCGACGTTGTTGTACATGATTGAGAGGTTGTCCTCGCGGATCTGCTCGTCGCTCTTCTTATCAGAGCCGGGCGAGTAGAAGAGGTCCACCCGTGTGGGCTCATAGTGACTCGTGTCGCGCTTTGCGTCGTAGAGGGCGGTCTCGCGGCGAAACATGTCTGGGATGTACCTCCCGCCCTCCTGGTCCCAGCTCCAGAATGGGAGCGCAAAACTAGGATCCCCGATCAGGCTCCCCAAGATCTTCTCGTGGAAGTACAGATACCAGCGGTGCCATGGCAGGAAGAGCCAGTTGAAGTGGATCTGGAGCGTCTGCTTTGGGGCGCCCTTCTGGCGGTAGCCATAGTTGCAGTAGGCGCAGTGGACTTTGGCCTGCTGACGTAAGCTGCGCGGGTCGTCCGGGGGGAGGGCGCGCATCTTGGCGTAGGCCTCGTTGTACTTGGCGATGTAGTCCTTGTCGACGAGGTGGGCGGCGGGGCGGACGCGCATCGGGCGCGAGTCGGGCTTGAAATAGCTGGTGGCGCCCTTGGGTTTTGGGGGGCAGCACGCCCGGTTGATGTCGTCGCCGATGGTGGCTTGGTGGCAGCGCTTGAACGTGGGCGGTCCTATCGGATCCGCCAGCGCGGGGCTGTCGACTGATGAGGCGAGAGACGCACCACCGGCAATGGCCCCGGCCAGGAGCTCGCGGCGATCGATCGAGGGCGTCACAGGGGAGGAGTTAGAGTTGCACGCGATCTTGAGCGGACGCGTGCGGGACGGGCGCTGGAGCTCGAGGCGATCGATCGAGGGCGTCACAGGGGAGGAGTTAGAGTTACATGCATTGGCTTCTTTCCTGGCGTTGGCGGCGATCTTGAGCAGACGCGTGCGGGACGGGCGCTGGAGCTCGAGGCGATCGATCGACAGTGCCACCATCCCAGACATGCTTGGTAGCGAATACATTGTCAAAGGAGGCAGCTATACAACACATAGCAGTTGATACTTGCTTTTATAGGGGCGCTCTTGCATGGCTCTCGTGTGTAATGTGAACACTTCCGGATTTTTCTGCTAGGGGAGTTGACACTGGAGCTTTTGACACATGCATGCACGAGCGATTGAATTTAATAAACAAATTATTAAGTATCATTGTTAGTCAAGTGGGACACTACAAGTGTCCAACTTATCACTTAGTCACTTAAAATGATATTTGATAATGGCTCCTGGCACTGAGGAATTTGTCAATGGAGGACTTCTTCTCCTTCCATCGCATATGAGAGTCCCTTCGATCCTTTGTTTCTCGTGCATTGACGGTTGGGATGGAAGGCCTTAGGATTGCTGGCCCAAGTCGCTCCAGAAGTTGGAGATGCACGTTTTTCTCGAGAGTTGGAGGAGACCTCAAAGTTTGAATATCTATGTTTTATCGAGAGAATCTATAAATCAATATAAACATTCTGGTTCAAAGAACCTTTTATTCATCTTTTGATTTGTTTTTGTGGAATCGTTAAAAATACTATAGGAACTTTCAGAAGAACCTACGCAGCAACTTGCTATTTATTAATCACAAGAAGTCGAAATCAAGCATGCTGAATGAAAGCCCCATTGAATGTGAAGCCACCCTGTCCGGTCGGCACCAGCGTCACAACGAGCTTGTCCGCTGACTTTAGGCCCAAGATCTCGACATTAGCCTTGATAGAGAAGGTGGCGTTCACGATCTCGGTGTGCCCCTTACCGATCTCGGACATGAAGTGGGGAACGTTGGAATAAGTGCCCACGTACTCAGCACAGCTGACGCGCGTGTTCTTGTTGGCCTCGGGCTTGAAATCGATGGTGGCGCGCTTGGGCTTTGGGGGGCAGCACGCCCCGCTGATGTCGCCGCTGATGGTGGCTTGGTGGCAGCGCTTGAACGTGGGCAGTCCTATCGGATCCGCCAGCGCGGGGCTGTCGACTGATGGGGCGAGAGACGCACCACCGGCAATGGCCCCGGCCAGGAGCTCGCGGCGATCGATCGAGGGCGTCACAGGGGAGGAGTTAGAGTTACATGCATTGGCTTCTTTCCTGGCGTTGGCGGCGATCTTGAGCAGACCCGTGCGGGACCGGCGCTGGAGCTCGAGGCCATCGATCGACAGTACCACCATCCCAGGCATGCTCGGTAGCGAATACATTGTCAAAGGAGGCAGCTATACAACACACAAGAGTTGATACTTGGTTTTAAACGGGCACTCTTGCGATGGCTCTCGTGTCTAATGTGGACGTTGCAACTCATACCAAGCTTGGATGACTTTGCTGGCTCCGCAGCATTATTGTGGACCTGATCCATTCATTCATATGCTGTTTACAAGGTACTACGCGCGCCCGCCCCCCCAATGAAGCATGAAACCGACCGGTTTGGGAAAGTTGCATGGATAATGTCCGTCGACCTTCTTGCTTCAATGGCGTCCACGTCTTCGGCCCGCCACCTTCTTCCGGTGTCGGTCTTTATGTGATCTGGTCCTCAGTTGTCAGTCACGGACTCATAAATAGCTCTTCTACAATGTGATGCACGTTTTAAAACACATTTTTTTTCAATTAATTTCAGTTTCACGTCCTAACGTACGGCACTGGAAGCGTGAAACACCAACGAAAATAGAGCCCCAACGATAGAAATATGAGAATTCGAATTGCTGCAAAAGAACATATAAAGTTTAATCTTTTAGGCATTGCTTCAAGAGACAAAACAAACATGCCATTGCATTGATCCACCTTGCTTATACTAAAACAATATGAAATTTTTTAAAGCCTGATTTTAGGGTTTTTGAGGTTATGGAGTGGGAGGAAGAGAGGATAGTGGCGCATCTGGAGGCGCTCGTCTCATTTCTGCGTCGCCACGAGCGCCTGTGGAGAGCGCACGTCGTGGAATTCTTCCAGGTATGGCGCATTGCGCGACTTTCCCATTTGCGAGCTTAGAACTATGCCAATGCAGGGGCGTTTGTGGGAGATTCTGGACACGCAATGGCTCCTGGCGCTGAGGAATGCGTCGATGGAGGATCTTCTTCTCCTTCCATCGCATATTTCCAAGGTGAGAGAGAGAGAGACTCTCGATTCTTTGTTTCTCGCGCATTAATGGATGGCAAGGAATTGTGGCTTTAGGATTGCTGGCCCAAGACGCTCCAGGATTTTCTTGCAGACGCGCGCTCGCTCTCTCTTTCTCGAGAGCTGATGGAGACCTCAAAGGTATTGCCCTTTACAAAACCTTGTCATTCACAACGTTTCTTAGCTTCTCTCAGGCGGATCGCTTCCAAGTGTTATAACGCAGGGCGTGAACGCCAAAAAACTCCACGAGGTATGTCACTCCTCTCCATCGATCGTCTTTGAGAAGACTCGCGTTTAGATTCTTTCCAGATTGAAAGACTTTCTTCGTTGATAGTAAACATCTCTCGCGTTGTCAACGCTACAGAAATCGTGGACGTCGGTGCTGGCCAGGTAAACATCCATCATTCTCCGGTGTATCATTCACGGGCATTTTGTTTCTTCCCAGGGGTATCTTGCGCAAGTCTTGGCGTTCCACCACAAACTTCCAGTAGTCGCAGTAGATTGCTCGGCGCACAACACAACCGTGACAAACAAACGCGCCGACCGCATCCAAAGATACTACGCTTCTCGCTCCGGTAAGCTTGAGTTGGTGCCATTCTTGTCAACCGTTTCAAAGCATCGTGCTACACACAGGTCGTGCTGCAAACCCGGGTCCCAAGACCGCAACCTGTCTCCTTGGATCGGGCAACGAGAATGTGTCGCTGGATGCATTCCTGTCGTCCATCAGCATCCGCAAGGAAGACGAGCAACGTAGCCACGAACAACACTCCATTGTCTTGGCCGGACTGCATGCCTGTGGAGATCTCTCGGCGAACATGTTGAGGTGAGGAGCTCGTGCTCGTCCGTAAGTTTGTCACTGTGTAAACTCTGGGTGTGTTGGCAGGACCTTTGTGAATCGCCAGGACGTCACGGCAGTGATCTCTGTTGGGTGTTGCTACAATTTGTTGTCCGAGAACGACGACAAGTGTGGCTTCCCTTTGAGCAGAGGCGTGAAGAGATTGAACTTGCGTCTCGGTGGAGCTGGACGTGATCTTGGATGCCAGGTGATCAGTCCCTTGACTTCCCTGTAAAAAGCTAACAGTGGATACTTGTAGAGTGCTCACCGCTGGAAAGATATTGGTTGCGAGATGGCCGTGGCAAACTTCGACGTGCATGCATTCCGGGCTGCTTTCCAGATCGTGAGTGATCTTAATCCGCTCGTTTCTCCTGGTTTACAAACTGGTGGCGTGCGCAGCTCCTCCATCGCTTTTACCCCGGCATTGCCGTCACCAGTCCTTCGGTCGGTCGCATCGGCAAAGCAAAGCGTCGCAAGCAAATGCGAAAGCCAAGCTCTGAATGCCAAGCATGCCACGGGAAAGGTGGCGACGACGCTGGAAAATTCGTGGCGTTCCAGCACTACTCCGCCGAGGCTCTCAAACGTCTTGGCCTTCCCGAGGTCTCGCGGGAAGACTTGGCTGAGATCTGGAAAGAAGTGGAGCCGTTTCAGGTAAGCGAGCTTTCTTGGCAGTGGTAGTACTTTACCTCTCGGTTTCAATGCAGGCACTTGTCTCTCCTTTCTGGTCGTTGAGAAGCGCCATAGCTCCGGTGCTGGAGACGTTGCTACTGATGGACAGGCTGCTCTATCTCAAAGAACAGGAAAGTGAAGTTCCGTCTTTCAGCGCCATGCTGCTGCCGGTGTTCGACCCTTGTGTATCGCCGCGTAACATGGCAGTTGTTGCTACGAGGAGAAAATCCGGAGACAAAACTAGTAGTGAGAGCCTGCTTGGCTGATTCGCTGCTCTGCTTCACGGACAAAAAATTCTTTCGTTCTGCCAACGAGTTACGTACACAAAGACACAAAACGAGAAGCTATAGAGACGGACCTATACATTGCAGAATCCAAAGAGTTAAGCAACACCGGAAAGCTCGAGAAATGCTGTGCGCGCACGGGAGCGCTTTCTTCCTCATCGCGAGGTCCCGTAGCGGGTTTTCTCTGCGCAACATGAAGGGGCGTCCCGCCGGAGAAGGCGAAATGAGGAGTTGTCTTGTTTGTTTGATGGATGGACCTGTTGTGCTCTCTCGATCATAACTTTGGCCAGAATGATTTGTATGATGCCCTGGCTTATGCTCACTGGAAACCTCCGGGAGTCAGAGGTCCGGTGGCCTGTTCTCTCTATATATATGAGCCTCTCATTCTCAGCTATCATGGGTCAGATTTCCTGTAGCTGATCCTGATGATCCATCATGCTCCCAGTGACTGATCAACTGCAAGCGATACCTCCCGGTTCATCGCGACATGGCGAGCAGTAGCAGCAGCGCTGTCTCCTCTGTCCTGGAGCACCGTCTTATCCCTTTGTACAAGGGAGATTGAGAAGCGCAGCCCAGTTGTGGAAATCTCCCTTGTACAAAGGATAAGACGCTGCTCCAGGACAGAGGAGATAGGATCCATGAAGCTACGATGTCTAAATCCAAGTTGGAAAACGCGCATGGATGTTAAGAGTCAACAGGCCGAGTAAGACGCTGGCCTGTTCTCTCTCCCTCTATATATATATATATATATATGAGCATCTCATTCTCAGCTATCATGGTATCAGATTTTCTGTAGCCAATCCTGATGGTCCACCATGCTCCCAGTTGATCTTGGCACTTCTCACTCTGATCGACTACAAGCAATACTTCCGGGTTCATCGCGACATGACGAGCAGTAGCAGCAGCGCATTCAGACCTTATGCTGACTCTTGAAATACTTTGTGCGCAGGGATCATCGACAAACGTGTCATTGAAAAATCATCGTGGATCGAGCAATCATGAAGAACAAAGAAAGGAGTGAAATGCAAAACCTTGTGTCGGTCCTTGCAGATTCATCGTTTGCATTGCCGTCTTCAGATCCATGGGATGGCTGCGACACTCATGAATTGATGTATTCCAAACATTATATCAAAATATTTCAATCACTTATCTGCCGTTTCTTGAATAACTCCGGAATTAAAATATTTCGAGCCAAAGAAGACGGTACTTTGAACAGAACGTTCGTAACGAATATACGTTTCGTACTATTTAAGTCACTCCAAGATTATACCCACGAATATGCCCTGTGTTCAGGGTTTATCAACTTGGGAGCGAAGCAAACATTCTCTTCCAGCCAACATACACGCCCTCGATCACCAATGCAGCCAAATCTGAAGGGGGATAGACCTTAAACTCGGCCAGGGCCTCTTCAGTCACGCAATACTTGTCAATCGATCCTTCCATGAGCGGGAATTCGTGCTTCTCCTGCGCTCGAGCAAAGCACTCGTAGTACGCGCGCTTGTCCACGAAAGGAGGCTCCTCTTCCCTGTCCGTAACGAACAAAACATTCGGGAAAGGCATCACGCTCCGGAGGATCGCAGCGAGAAGAACACGCCCGATCCGCCCATTCCCATCGCGAAACGGGTGGATCCGCTCAAACTCAAAGAAGAATCTGGCTCCAAACTTGAGCAAATCCTCGGTTTGCCCCACACTGATCAAGCTTTCTTCCTGGCTCGCCGGGAACATCTCCTCGAGCTCGCGATTCGCGTCCTCGACCAGCTCCTCCAGCGAGCTCTCCACTTGGGTCGGCCACGTAAAGACGTGAAGCCCGCCAGTCACCATTCTTGTGTAGGCAATCTCGTGGGGATCCTTGCGGAGGCGAGCTGCGATCTTGGGCTTGGTGCTCCTCATGAGCTCGCCGTGGGCCTCCAAGATCTTGGGAACACTCAGCTTTGGGATCACGATCCCATGGTGGGCTTGATCATCATCTCCTTCTAGCGGCGGAAACATCGCTCGCAGTGACTTGTGGAGGCAGCGCACGGCCTCGAGCCTGGAATCCGACTGAACGGCGTCTCCCAGCTCGAGCGCCCCATTGCAAAAGATGGCATCCCGGGTCTCGGCGTAGGTGTCGAATCCTTCTTGCTCGATCTTGTTTACCTGGAAAAGATACTGCGCCAATGCTTCCTTTGCGTGAATCTCCATCGCCCAGCGCTGCTGCTTGTCCGGGAGGCGCTTGAATCTATGCACAAACGCGTGGATTCTTACCACTTGATCGCTTGTGCTCGCCCTCCAGAAAGGAACCTGGGATGCCGCGTACTTCCACATAGATATTGAAGAACCCTAAAATTCCACGTCAGCTCTTTAATCGGATCTTTAAACGCCCTGTTAAAAGCGCGGTCGCCATACCTTCATCTCCAGCTCACGCATTTCACGCACTCTGGGAAGAAGCACACACACCATAACTTGCGCTCGGTTGGATCGTTTGTAAGTACAAGCATGATCGTGCTCTCTCGCTCGTTGATTCTGGCACTCCTCTTGATGATCCCACTGCCACTGTCGAGAGCTTTTTCTCACGATCATCATGCTGCCTGTGCTCTAGCTGCAAATCCAGAGATTTGCATTGCCAGCATGGAAGCACTGGATTTGGATCCCGGCAACGCTGGAAGCTTTGCGCTAGCGGCGGTAGGATCCGCTCGTGACTCCCTGGAGGCGCTGCTTGCATCCACAGCAGAGCTCGATCATGGCGCCGTCTCGTCGAGCAAGCCATCCAGATCCATGAGGAAAAGGGCAGTGATGCGCGACTGCGTGGAACTCCTCCATGACGCGTCCCGCCTCGCTGCCGATTCACAAGTGGCCATTGGAAGAATGAAAGCGAGCGATCTGGTGAATGCTCACACCTGGATGAGCGCTGCTCTCACTTACCATACCACTTGCCTGGATGGATTGATCGAGGCTGGCTTTGACGAACACAAACTGCTAAACAAAGCCCGAGAATCACTCAGCACTTGCCTGGCAGCCATAGCATCCTTGCGAAGAAATCAAGAACAGGAGCCACAGACCATCAAAACCCCGCATTGGGTCTCCAAGTCGGTGGGAAATTACACCATTCTTCCCAACATCACGGTGGCCAAGGACGGGAGTGGCCAGTTCGAGAACATCACTGCGGCTCTTGCCGCTGCTCCCACGAAGAGCAGCTCCAGGTTTGTGATTTACATAAAGCAGGGAACTTACTTGGAGACTTTCGAGGTGCCGAGGAATCTCCTGAACTTGATGTTCTTGGGAGATGGGATTGGCAAGACCATTATCACTGGAAACAAAAGTGTCCAGGATCCAAACATCACAACTTTTACGTCCGCAACAGTGGGTAAGTGATCACAAACGTAACTTTACAAACCTCGCTAATCGATTGATCGATCTTTCAGCTATTAGAGCGAACAACTTCATCGCTCAAGACATCACATTCCAAAACACGGCCGGAGCCATAAACCATCAAGCGGTGGCGGTGCGAGTGACCGCGGACAAGGTGGCATTCTTCCGATGCTCGTTCGAGGGCTTCCAGGACACCCTCTACGCTCACTCCCTCCGCCAGTTCTACACCCAGTGCGACATCTACGGCACCGTCGACTACATCTTTGGCAACGCAGCCGCGATCTTCCAAAACTGCAATCTCTACGCTCGCCTCCCGATGCCCAAGCAGAAGAACACCTACACGGCGCAGGGAAGAACAGACCCAAATCAGAACACGGGCTTCTCCTTCCAGAACTGCGCCGTGGATGGAACCCCGGAGCTCAAGGCAAACATCACCCAGTTCCCGACGTTTCTGGGGAGACCATGGAAGGAGTACGCGGTCACGGTGTTTCTCAAATGCTACGAGAGTGCGGTGGTGGATCCGGCAGGTTGGCTCGAGTGGAGCGGCGATTTTGCGCTCCAGACGCTCTTCTATGGCGAGTACTTCTGCTATGGGCCAGGCGGCTCGATCGTCAAGCGCGTTGACTGGTCAACTCAGATATTCGACTCTAGCTTTGCGAGCAAGTACACGGCAATGAGCCTGGTCAGCGGGGACGAGTGGCTCCCAGCGACGAATCTCCCATACACACTGGTGCTATGATCATAGGAAAAGAAAAAGTGGTATCATCAACCTTGACTTATTCAGCTATAGCTACATTGTGCCTATGCCACCTTTTGTGAGGTGGAATATCACTCAAAATACTTTAGCGTTGTATGATTGTGTGGGTCAGCTCACTGTTCTTGGCCCTCCAACCGAGGTGGGAACCCCCACGGCTTGCATATGTTTGAGCGTCGCGGCCAGCCAGTCCAATCCTTCGTACAGACCCTCGCCTTTGATCGCGCACGCTGCTTGGACGTGCCACCGTCGGTCTCGCATCTTTCCCAGCCCCAGCACCGCGCAGATCTCCGTGGGAGACATGGCGCCCTTCTGCAAAAACGAAGAGACGAGCGAAAACTTCACTCTCCCGGAGAGAAACGAAAATCGAAGAGAGTTACCATGTCTTGCTTGTTTGCGAACACCAGGATGGCGCTGTTTCTCATCAGTGGATCGTTCACAATCGCCTGGAGAAAGAAGTGACGCGAAGGATGTGATGAGCTCCCGGAGAGCTTAAGTAGAACTTGTTTGAAACCACTTACTTGGAATTCCAGGGCGGCTTTGTCGATCCGGTCCTTGTCGAACGAGTCCACGACATAGATCTGGAGCACGTCTTGTAGATCACGATTGAAAACAAAAAAGGAAATCTAAAACAGTACCAGAGCATCGGTGCTGCTAAAGTAGTGCTTCCAGAGCGGTCTTAGCTTCTCCTGGCCACCAACATCCCACACCGTGAACACCACATTCTTGTACTGGACCTTCTCCACGTTAAATCCTAGCAAGGATTCACATCAGTCGAGAAATCGAGCAAGAAGGTCAAGATGAAAGCCAAGAAACCAGAAAAAAGGATTACCAATTGTTGGAACCGTGGAGAGGATTTCCCCTATGTGTAGCTTGAACAGGATCGTTGTCTTGCCGGCGGCATCCAGCCCCAGCATCACTACCTGCAAGAGCCTGCCCGTAAGGATCAGTCCATAGAAGACCGAGAAGCGCGCAATCAAAAGCCACAGCCATTACCCTCATCTCCTTGTTCCCAAACAAGCTATCGAACAGCTTCCGGAACGTCTGCCCCATAATCCTCTCGCTCTCTCTAGCTCCCCAATCGATCGCGCTGATTTCACCCAAGCGCCCTCATCGTCGAAAAGCCCTAAGAAACCCTAATCTTGGAAGAACCCTAAAAACTTTCTCTCACGGGCTTCTCTAAAATCGCCGAGAGATAGACCTCGCGATTGGCCCGATCGAGCTTCTTTCCGACCGCCCACTTGATCCTCCGGAACCCCAGCCTCTCGATCAGCGGCACATAGAGGGTGTCCAGTTGATCCTCGGTGCAAAAGAAGTGATCCAGCCAGAAGAATCCACCCGGTCGCAGGACGCGATCGATGTCGTAGAGCACGAATTCCAGCGATTCCAGCGGGATCCAGTTGCTAAGAACATGCATGGTGTGGACGAGATCTAGGGTGTTGTCGAAGAAGGGCAGGCGCTGCGAGATCGTGGCGAAGATCGGGACTAGCCCACGCGCGGCGATGAATTCGCTGAAGGGCCCGTTGAGATTGAGCGTGGTGGTGATGATCGTCACTCCCCGCTCCAGCATTCTCGCCGCAAAGCTCCCAGTCCCTCCGCCCAGATCCAGCCCAATTCGAATGCCACCCTTGGCCAGCGAAAAGATCTCGTCCAGCTCCTTGGAGCTCACCCATCGCGATCGCTCCGGGCCGGAGAGATCGAAGCAATCGGCGCAATCGTAGAAGACGGTCTTGTTCTTGGCCCTGTTCTTGAGGCACTCGAAGCTCTTGCACGAGTAGTGGCTCCACAGCACTGATTTGTCGCTGGGGATCTCCCACAGCGATCCCGGGAGGGAGTGTGGCGGGAAGATCGCTGCTGGGGTCCTGGCGAAGCATCGCCGGCGAGGAAGAGGCTCGCAGCCGCGGAGCATGAGGGATTGGCCGATCCACCAGTCGTCTGGGCAGATCTCCCCTGGCGTGTAGCCCATGAATCGATCGAGGAGCTCCCTCTGCGCGTAGCACCGGTGCCCAATTGGAGAGGTCATCGTCTCCAGGCCATAGTTTGGATTCCTGCCCAGCGGGAGCTTCCTTTCTGCCGTGAACTCCACAAGCTCCTTGCTCATCGCGAAATCTAGATTACCCCCTTTGTGTTCTTCGTGTTCTTCGTGTTCTTCGTGTTCGTCGCGAGGGTTTTGCGCGCCATGCCTGCGAATTTCATCCCTGAGCGTCGCCAGCTCCCGGAGAATCGATTCGTCCCCCGCGGCGTGCTGCAAGCTCCGCTGGACGTCGCGCGAGATCGAGAGGCTGTAGAGCGCGAGAATGTTGGTGACAACGATCGTCGCCAGCAAGAGTAGAACTCCGCAACTCCCTCCTCCTCCTCCATTTCCTCCATTCCCAAATCCCAGCGCTGCCACTAGCGATCTCGTGAAATCCCTGGGCTTGTCTTCCCCTCCCATTTCTTGGGCAGCGAGCAAATCCCTCACTCCACAATCAGGATCTCAGTGCGCCATATCTAGGGCTGACGTGGAGTTGATCGTAGGGCTGACGTGTACTTGATCTTAGGGCTGACTTGTCACGTCAACGTAGTTTTCTCGTTTCTCCGTTGGACGGCGCTCGGGTTCTTCGCCACGCGTGTGCGTGTTCTCTGCCGGCGCCACGAACGATCCTACCGAGCTTTCCTCTCGGACCGCCCAAGGCTATTTAATCGCTCGCTCCTCCTTGCCCTCGCCCAAATTTGAGATCGATCCTTGGGCGGCGCAGTGTCAGTGGCGATGGAATTCGCGGGCAAGGCCATAATCGCGTTGTGGGCGCTGGTGATTTGCGTGATTTTCCCCTCGGCGGCGGCGGCCAGGGGCATTGCGACAGCCCAAGCTGCGAGTGGTGAGTGCTGCGATCTAGAAAGGAAGAATCTATGGATTGATCTTGGGTGTTCTTGTGGCAGGGGCTCTTTTGGATCAAATGGTGGCGTATTTGCTCTTGTTTGGCGCCTTGATGGTCACATACCTCACCCATCCTCTCCCATTTAACATCTTTTGAGGAGATTTCCTCCATTCTTTTGTGAATCCAATCGCAATATTTACTCGCCGAAGAACCCTAGAGTAACTTAGTTCTTAGGTCAAATATTTCGAGCCGCGATGGCGATGGCGCACGGCATCGACTACCGCGATAAGCTCATCCTTGCGCCGATGGTGCGCGTGGTAAGACGATCTAGTTTTAGCTGGAGCGGATGAGGATTGAGATGGCCAGGCAGGGAACGCTGCCGTTTCGGATGCTCGCCGCTGGCTATGGCGCCGATCTCACTTACGGCGAGGAGATAGTGGATCACAAGATGCTCAAATGCTCTCGCGTCGTGAACGGTACGTGAGACTTCGTCCATCGATTTCGTGTGTCACGTCCTTGCTCGTGCCAGACGTGCTTGGCTCTATCGATTTTGTGGAGAAGGGAACGAACGATGTCGTGTTTAGAACTTGCAAGGCGGAGAGAGATCATGTCGTGTTCCAGATGGGAACTTCGGATCCATATCGAGCTCTCACTGTCGCACAACTCTTGTAAGAATTCCTCTCCATAGTTTTTTCAGCTTCTTAACAAGCTTTCATCTCATCTTTTCTTTAGGTGCAAGGACATAGCAGCTGTGGATATAAACATGGGATGTCCAAAGCCTTTCTCAGTGACTGGAGGAATGGGATCAGCATTGCTCTCTCAACCGGAACTTGTCAGTGAGGTTCGCACGAAACACTCCTTGTTTGAATGATGACGTGACCTTCTTCCGGTGTGGTTGTCTTTTGTTAATCTCTCCGTTCAGATTCTAACAACACTGAGACGAAACTTGGACATCCCAGTAACCTGTAAGATTAGACTCTTAAAATCCACCCAGGAGACTGTCGAGTTGGCCAGGAGGATCGAGAAAACCGGAGTTTCGGCCATTGCGGTGCATGGAAGGTGATGCTACGGGATTGAGATGCATGTTTCTTTTAACCGCTAATTCGTTTTTCCTTCTCACTTGTTTTCTTACAAATTTTTTTTTCCAGGAGAATCCCCGATAGACCAAAAGATCGTGCCAAGTGGGATGGAATCGCGGATGTGGTGTCTGCGCTGTCAATTCCTGTCATAGCTAATGGGGATGTTTTCGAGCCTCCGGACATCCCAAGGATCAAAGCTGCCACTGGTACACTTTTTCTTCTGTTTTGTACGTTTACATCCTTTGGCTTTGCGACAGGTGCTTCATCTGTTATGGTGGCACGAGGAGCTTTGTGGAATGCCTCCATTTTCAGACCCGAGGGGAAGCTGGACTGGGAAGAAGTGAAGAGGGAATACTTGAGACAGGCAGGCTAAATGAATGTATGATGGCAACTCTGACAGTGGTTCTATCTGGCAGTGCATCTTGTGGGAGAATGATATCAAGTTCACAAAGTACACAGTAAACAACATGATCATTCGCAATTCCAGCCTGGAGTCTCCCGAAGGGAGAGCTGTGCACAAGTGTCAAAGTTTGCTTCACCTTGCGTAAGTTTAAACGTTACTAGAAAGCTTTTCCTGATTTTCTCATCTGGTTTTAGCGAGGTCTACGGTCTCGAGGATTTTCACCACAATATTTCCCAGGGGCGCTATAACACATTGTAATTGCCTTCCTCACAGTTTGTTCCGGCGACTTGTACACAGGTAATGTGTTTCGTTTTCAACGTGTGAAGTGTTTGCTAACCAGCCTGTTCATGAACAGAGCGGAATTTTTCAGCGAAGGCAAAGATCAAAAACTTTGTTCTTTTGGCCCGGTCCTACCCGGTCCATACGGAAGCACTTTAGAAAAGCTTTAAAATCCAGCCACTGAGCATTCGTCCCTCTTGTCAGCAATGCTGCACTACACTACGTGCTTTGAGCTGCAGCAATGCAGCAACAGAACAGTCCATTCGGCCCTCGAGGTACGGTTTTAGTCAATCTCTCTTAAATCATCTTTGCTTCTCCTTTGGCGAACAGGATCTTAACAAACAGTGTCGGTGTGGTTGAATGCTCTGGAGGGGCTCTGGCAGCGTACTCCACATCTAGAATCACTGTCCGCCAGAGTGACGCGATGTGAAGCACAGAGCAAAGGAAGGTTCTTACTAGTAAAACATTGTGGCTCCTTCTTTGCGGTTTCTCCATTTTCAGATTAGGCATCGCTGTATGCGAGCTGTGTTTTGTAGGCACGGGGCGTGTGAAGAGATTTTCGTTATGTACGGAAATAGCAGCAGTGAAAATCTAAGGAGTTGAGTTTGAAACTTCAGCTAACTTGACAAGACAAAACAGCAACTTACGAGATCAACATCATTCGGTAACCAACAGTTTTTTTCTTTCTTTCTTTCCTTTTTCAGTTTCTGTGTTGGCTTTCTCCAAACATTTATGAGCATGGGTTAACATGCCCCATGCACACAAACAGCTCTGGCTCTTTTCAGTAAAAATGGTGGTGGTGACACACAACACAACAGTGACTTGTTTGAACAAGAATAGTGGTAACATTCAGATATAATGTTGGTTTCAGCGTGAGGAGTTCCATGGAGGGTGGATTCAGGCCAGAAGTCGAAGGTGTGTAGGTGGTTGCTCCCCAAACAAACAAAGAGGCCCCACAGATCTGTACCACCTTTTAGTTGAAGATGAAAGTGTCAAATAATTTACAGTACCATCATAAACTAGAAACAAAATCAGAACACTCACTGAGAAATTTTCTGGGCCAGATTTTCAATCTTCTTCTGAGGAGACCATGATCTGAGCAACAAACTTTGCAACATGTCAACATGGTCCCATTGATTGAATTTCATGAGCATTTCCAACGCAGTTTCAAGACTAAGAGCCTTTTTCGATGTTGGGCGAGTTTTTTTAGTTCGGGTGCCGGGTTGCTGTCATTTTTGGTTGGCAAGAAGAAATTATATGCCCTCCACCAGAACATTTGATAGAAAATAAGCTACAAAATCTTTTACAATTTTTTTTTTTCCACGGAGATTCGATCCAATCTCTATTCTCATAACCGAAACTAAAGGAAAACTTTTACCTCAAATCTAAGAAAACCATTCAAACGGGGAGAGTTAAAATTCCCCTTTTTTTTCCTTTTATCATTACCTTTTTTCTTTCCCTGTTTCTGCCATGGCCATTTATAAAGCCATGGAGTGTATGCCACCGACTTGAGCAGCATCCAGTGATCAAAATCTCTGTTCTTCCTTTGCAATTCTAGCAAAGGATATCTTTGTCCTGGTTCTTGCTAGAAATCTCGCAAAGATGAAGGCACTGATTCTTGTGGGAGGATTTGGGACTCGCCTCCGTCCACTCACGCTCAGCCTCCCAAAGCCACTCGTGGACTTCGCAAACAAGCCAATGATCCTCCACCAGGTAAGCAACCAAATCTCTCCCAAAAGTTTGGCTCAAGAACTAAGGATTCGTGCATGCGTAGATTGAAGCTCTCAAGGAGGCTGGAGTGGACGAGGTTGTTCTTGCCATCAACTACCAGCCAGAGGTATAGCATTCGCTCTGGATTCACAGCCACAAACCTCACAAATCTCTTTCTTCCAGGTGATGATGAGATTTCTCAAGGATTTCGAGGCCAAGCTGGGCATCAAGATCACTTGCTCCCAGGAGCGAGAGCCCATGGGAACCGCCGGCCCCCTGGCGCTGGCCCGAGACAAATTGGTGGATGGATCTGGCGAGCCATTCTTCGTGCTCAACAGCGACGTGATCAGCGAGTATCCGCTCAAACAGATGATTGCCTTCCACAAGAGCCACGGAAAGGAAGCCACCATCATGGTCACAAAGGTATGATTCGATTGCTCCAGGAAACTTGGAAAAACCTATCCTATAACTTCCGTGATCTTCGTGTTCTTAGGTGGAAGAACCATCCAAGTATGGAGTGGTGGTCATGGACGATGCCACGGGAGCCGTACAGAGATTCGTGGAGAAGCCTCAAATCTTCGTGGGCAACAAGATCAACGCTGGAATCTATCTCCTCAGCCCGCAAACGGTCGACCGGATCGAGCTCCGGCCAACTTCCATGGAGAAGGAGATCTTCCCTGCCATTGCCGCGGAGAAGCAGCTCTTCGCGATGGTTCTCCCGGGATTCTGGATGGACATTGGCCAGCCCAAGGACTACATCACGGGGTTGCGCTTGTACCTCGAGTCCATCCGCCGCAAATCGCCCGAGAAGCTCTCTATCGGCGCTCACGTTGTTGGAAACGTGATGATCGACCCCTCGGCGCGGATTGGGTCGGGGTGCTTGATCGGGCCCGACGTAGCAGTAGGACCGGATTGCGTGATCGAGGAGGGCGTGAGATTGTCTCGGTGCACGGTGATGCGAGGCGCCCAGATCCGGAAGCACTCGTGCGTGTCCGGGAGTATCATCGGGTGGCACTCGAAGCTCGGGCAGTGGACGAGGATCGAGAACATGACCGTGTTGGGCGAGGATGTCCAGGTGAAAGACGAGCTCTACAGCAATGGAGGGGTGGTGTTGCCACACAAGGAGATCAAGACCAGCATTCTCAAGCCCGAGATTGTCATGTAGGATTTGACGAAGAACACACACCGGATGATTTTTTAGAAGATTGGTATGTATCGTGGAAAAATGATAACTTACGTAGCATGTATTTGTGTAGGGGGATTTCAAGGGCTCTATGCGACGAACTAACGAATAAACGATGGTTTAAATGGTCCAGAGCTGACAATGAGAGATTGGAATTAAGTATCGGGCGAGACATCCTGGTTGGCGCAAACCATCAAAAACATGCTGGTCTTTGACACCTCAACCATCTGCTGACACGGTATCTTCACTCAAGAAGCGAGAAAATGTTTATAAACCTAAAAAGGATTTGAGCAAAGAAGAAAAGTTTATAATGAATCCCTGGCTTGAATTTATAAAATCAATGGCCCGGCTTATGCCTTCCTCCATAAAAGAAGCATTGGATTAGCTAGGAGTGGAAATCCACTATTTTTACTATTTCTACTATTAAATTGGTGTGGTTGGCAATATATTTACAGAAAAATTACTCCATCCATCACATCCCAATAGAACTAAATTTCCGGAGTGTTTCTTTCTCAAACACTAAATTGCAATTATACTCCAGAACTAGCTGGTAAAGGCAATTTGAAGAAATTAAATGATCCCCTTCATTTATAACTGATCAAAGTGTCTTTATATCTCTGCTAGTCATGGATGAATAATATACATTACAATCATTTGGACTAGCTGGAACAGTTTCTCTAGCGTCATTGTACAAAAGATCATTTTGAGAATTTTTGTCATTTGCAGTTAATATTTTGTATGGTAAGCTGAATAATCAATCTGTATAAATGCTGAAGCCTTTACAAAACCATAGTTGTATAGTCAAGACTCTTGCATAGTCCTTCTAGCAAAAGCTTATTTGCAAAGGTGATGGACACTACAACATCCACTAGTTTCTCTTTTACACATACCTGAACAAATTTTGGACTGCCCTGGAGGGATTTAATCTCTGTGAAGTCTAGAATCGTGTTCTCCACATTTGCCGTCAGCTTATTGTAGAGCTGGTGGCTTCTATCTTGCAGGTGAACAATTGGTCATGGTCTCTTAAAGATCTTATATGCCTAGTGGGGTCACTCCGCACAAATTGGTGATTGTGCTTTTTAAAGACAGGAATGCCTTCTGTAAGTAGGCACGCCTCTTGACACAGGGCATGTATGTATGCCCATGCACAATTGTCATCCCACGAACTTCTAGAAGTAGTGACAGATTTGAATGCTCTAGATTGCAATGTCTCACTTTTTTGTTCTTCCTGCTCACTTACCTGAATATGGAACACATCTTATAGGACATTAATTCCATCGGCTCCAAACTTTTATTGCTATTTCAATAGAAATTGTTAATCAAATATTATTCTCAATAGTGGACTTATCTTTTTTGGACTGTTTAATTGTAACACTACGGCAATACTTTACTAAAAGTCTAGAAGTAATAAATAAAACATTAATTTGCTGATAAGCATCATTTTCTTTTGAGTGCATATACTTCTCTATTTTTCAGCAAGGAGAATAAATAGAGGAACTTGCTACACACGCTTGGTTTGCTTGTGTACTTTAAAGAATATATATTATTATAACATATAATTTTCTTACTTTTTTAAAAAAATATTACAAGAAAACCGGATAAAGATGTTAATAATATAATAAAAATAATACTGGATCATTTTGTTTGACAAAGACAATATTTAGTTTCTATGTCTCACATGTTCAATTGCAACTTAAAAAATAACCCATGTAATCAAACTTGACATTCAAGTAGAAGAATTTTATTATTATCCATATTAATGAGGTCATTAATACTTCCTTTTTTTAAAAAAGAAAATGAAATAGTTTTCATGGAGTATCAAAAAGTCATCATGGTCATATTTTATTACTTATGAGATCACATCTCTTAGCATCATATGAGGATTACAATTTCAATTCATTCAAATTGAATTGAACTCTAGGGTATTCTACCCTATTATTTTGCTTGAGTCAAGGACTAGCTATTTGAGATTCTTATTTGGAAAAGAGTTGTCAATTATCATAAATATTTAATAAAATTTCATAAAGATAATAGAAATAACACAAAGTAAATAGAATTCATCATATATATTTTACTAATATTGTTTAGCATGATCTTGTGGCAACTTATATTTAAACATGATCTTGATGAAAAATTAATATATTAATTAAAATCACTCATCCTCCAAAACATCATAGTTGTCATAGCTAATCATAAGTTTAATTGACAAAATATAATAAGAGGGAGTAGTTTATATGTTTTTATTTTAATCACAAAATTTTAATTAATTTTAACTAAAGCAAACTGTTGGCAGTGAATATGCCAAGAATATTCTTAAATATTCTGCATCTATTATTGTTTATTTAGATTAATCTTTTATTTATAATTTATAAACTCTCTTAAACACATGATTTAGAGGGAGTTTACTATCTCTAGCTAAAATTTCTTTTGACTGAGATTAATCATATTAATTTATATGAATACTTTAGATAAATTGCTATACGTTGCGTGTAGCAATACTTAGTTTGCTTAATAGTAGTTTTGTAACTATTTTGTGATCTCTTGTTGCACATGAGGAGGTTCATTGAAAAGAAAAAATAAAAATGGATAAATCACTTGCATGATGGTGTATTGACTTTTTTTTTATATAGGGCGGGGCCTAATGAATGTTATAAAGAGTCTGTAATGTAATATATG